AGCCCGCAGGCTGGAGCCTGTGGCTGCCTTTTGCCAGCTCACATTGTAGGAGCCAAAATTAGTGGTCTTCTCCCCTCCTCCTGCCTTCTAATCTTGTGTCAGCGTCTCCTATTGGCTGAACTTAACCAGAAAGCAGCTGGCAGTGGGGGTCTGGACAATGTAGTTTTTAGACTTGCAGCCCCCTGCAATGCAGGAAAGATCTTGGAAGGTCAGAAATGAAGCTGAGGACCACAAACCACCCAGGGTCTTCGTCTGAGAGGGAGGATGGGGAAGAGATATTGAACATTTAGGAAGAGAGAAAAAGGCAGGCAGTTGCCTAAGGGAGTATGGCTGGACTTGAGGAATATGGCATAATTGTTTGTCAGTTTTAAGGCACACAGAGTAAGAGAACGTGGTTTTAACGTTAGCCCACTCAGCAGGACTGTGTGTTCTTCAGCCACGGAGTGGTCCAAGATGTGGTTTAATCAAGAGAGTTCACTGAAGCAAGAGTGGGCAGGGAGTGGAGGATGGGTCTAAGGTAGTTACTAAAATAATTGGCCACAGAATTTAAGCTAGGTAAGGAAGAAAGTGAAGACATGGGGAGGCGTAGATGACAAACATGTTTCTATCTCCTCTTAACTGAAAGCTTTTTGTCATCAAAAAACCAGCTCGATCTAGCTCACCACTGTATTTCTAACACCTACAATGCTGCTAACACCCAGTAAGAACTCAATATAGCTATTTGTTGGATAAATGACCAATGGAATGAATGGGTGAATGTGTTCAATGCCATATCCCCTACTGGACTGTCAGCTCTGTGAGGTCAGGGACCTTGTCTAATTTGTTCATTTCTGCCTCGTCAGTACTATCATAGTGTCTGGCACATTGTAGGTACTCAAATATATTTGTTAAAATGAAATTAACTGAATTGACTTCAAAGGCAAGAAAAGGAAAACTCACAAATAGAAGCAGATTATGTCATAAAAGATATAGGGCAGCTGTGTGGAACCTTTAGACTCAGTCAGAAGAGAGAGGGAACAAATTAAAGCCTGGCAGTCATCAAAATATGCAGTCAAACGCCAAGTTTAAGTTCAGTGTAAGCAGACACTATGATTCCCAATCTGTCTGAGCTAAAGGATTGAACAGGAATACGGCAGCACCAGAACAAGCAAGGACTATTCTTGGTGTAGGTAAAGACTGCGTTGATGCCAGGGACAAGATGCCTGACCCAAGGCCTATGCTCAGGGTCTCGAATTGGGAATTGAGCAAAACAGCCAACCCTCTCTCCCACCAACCCCCTCAACTCTAGACCCACCCAAGCCAAAAAGGTGTACTGTCAATCAACCAGGCTGTCCTCCGGGAGAGGGAAGGTCAGCTCCAGCCCAGCGAGCCTGAATATGCTGAGAGGTGGGGGAGACCTGGGGTGGGGTACCACAGGCAAGTGCTGATTCATTCAGCCTGGGATGATCTAGCTGGGGACAAAAGAGTGAATTTGGCAATGTCGTTTCATGAGCCCTCAGAATCTTGTCTTCTGGTTTCTTAATGTGAAGTTAAAGCTCCTAACATTTCCTCAATCCCCTTCAAAACCGTGTACAGCCAGATTTTATTATATACTAAGTTAAACAACTCATTTCTCCCAATTAACAGAAAGCTTTCGGGGTGGAAAGACTGTCTTATTCGTCTTTGCAACCTCTGCAGCACCGAGGCCCGTTCTACGGAAGACGCTCAAGGAACGTTTGTTGCAGGAGTGAGTGGGTGACTGCATTCCTGACCTATGTAAGTGCATACACTTTAACAGACAGTGTCAGCAAGTTAACTCCTCTTACCTGCTCCCCCCACAAAGAGCATGAACGTATTTCCAAAAGGGTTCTTCCACCATTCGTTGATTGATAAAAAGGAAGTAGATACCAATGGAACTGGTTCCAAAGGCTTTTTGACTGGGTTTCCTGCAGCCATCCAAGATGCCAGCCAAACCTCCGGACCTTCGTCTGTTGGAGGGCAGAGGGCAGCCAGCGGGCACGCATGTAGAAGACAACGCTGAGACTAAAGTCCTGGGCTCCAGACTTCACAGTGGGTGCGTTTTCCAATATTCCATATTTTCCTCTGAAACATTTAAGACAGAAATGCAAAGCAAGCCATACCATAACCAGAGAATTTTCTGGAGAATGAAGGGGTAGAGGTTGCTTTGAGGACAGTTGCCCTTACATTCCTCTGGCAGTTCTTTTTGGAGGGAGTGCAGATGACAGCAGAGCAAGCTTCCGGTTAGGGTGTGTCATGGGGGCGCACAAGCTCCTGCTCCCTGCCCGCCTTTTCTTCTTCTGAGTAGGAAGATCAAGGCATTTAGAATCCAGAGAAGAAAAATGCCACATTTTCAGAAAAGTGGTCTTCCTCTCCTCCCCCAAGAGATTATCAGTGAAAGGATAGAGGTCAGTTAATAAAAAGAAGAATAAAAATATCGTTGAAATCCATTTTCTACCCTTCCCCTGTTAGAGCTGCATCTCGGGCGATAAGCTGAGTGGTCTGGTGCTGGTGGGACCTTGTCCCTGGGAGACGGGACACAGGAAGACTAAGAGGGACCCCAGGGAGGCCCAGAGGAGAAGCCACAGTTTACTGGCTCCAGGCTGCTGCAGGGAGAGCTGGCTTTGTTTTTCTGTAAAGTCCAGCTCTGGCCCAAGGCTGGAGAGTCCTGAAAGACTGTCTTTCAGGAAGGAGTGACTTTGGCCCAGGAGTCTGCAGGGAGATGAGCCATCATTGGTCTGGTAGAGGCCCTGGGTTAAGGAGAAGGAAGCCCCCGACAGGGACAATACAGAGCCAGGGAGGGGAACGTGAGCCTGGTGGAAGGGGCCCAGGCCAGCAGGCAGTGCACACAGGTCCCAAGTCTGTCACTAATTTGCTGCGTGACCTTTGACCAGACATTCACTTGACTTCTCTGGGTCTCAGTGTCCACGTCTCTAAGATGGGTAAAACTCTACTATCTCCACCTCCAAAATGGTTTACCACCTAAAATCAACCTTCCTTACTATTCTCCCCTTCTGAACTTTTCCCAAGTGAACTAAAGTAGGCGATCAGACCATTAATTGAAGGGGAAAAGATAAATATATATTTCCTGTGCAGGAAGAGAATCTTTGAGGCAGTGGTCCCTAGACTCTTTAAGATATGCCTCCTTTGCAAAATCTGATGAAGGGTATGGCTCTTCTCCCTGGAGGAACCAACCGCCCATGTAAAGTTTCACATGGAATTTCAGGAGGCTTACTCCACAACCATCCACTAATCGTGGGTGTAGATAAGATCCCTTGTTTTAAGAAAAGCTCTATTGTAAAAGCTAACTTTGAAAAAGATAATGTGAACTGCCTATCAAGAGGGTACACTGGATCTTGGAGGCTATTTCATCTGGAATAAACTTCAAGAAGAAGTGGGAGCCATCAAGCATTTGCAAGTTGGGTAGACATATCCATAAGTAGCTCAGGGTAGATACAAGATTCGGCAGGATAAGGTTTGTCCCGAGATTGTACCTGCTCCGGAAATGCAGGCTCAGGGGTGTCTGCTTTGGAGACGCTATCTGGGTCTGGGATCAGGGAAGACAAAAGAAAAGGCAGGGATAACATCCAGGAAAACAGAAAGGGAACAGACAACAGGAACAGAACGGGGCTGGGCGGTCAGTGTCTCAGGGGGTCAGAGAGGGGTTTCAGGATGTATGGAGAGATGTGGAGGTAAAGGGGGCTGGGAGGAAAAACTCGGAAGGGCAGAGAAGGAGGGGAGTGGGTGCTGACCTTGAAAACAGCCTTAGGGAGCAAATGAAGAGAATCCTAATTAAACAAAGGGGTGAAACAAGTGGCCCCTGGGCCACGTTCAGCCTCACTGTGCAGGAAGCTCTGGACACCTGATTAAAAACTACCGAACTGAACAAACAATAATAGAAGGAAATTTGTTTTCTGGCTGAAATTACGTGATTGATCACTGATTTATATTTTTCAGTATCTTAGAGATTAGGGAATAAAGGTGAGAATATTGGGGCATGATCAAAGCTTTGTGAATTAAAGAAAGAATACCTCAGTTGTGATGCCCACTGTGTTCTGCAAAGCTGGGAAGATTGGTTAAATATCACTATTATTATAGGGGTGAATATGAAAGTCTGAATTCCCAGACGAAACCAGCAAAGGTAAAATAGGGATGAGGAAGTTTCTGGTTTACAGCAGGTGGAAGGTACATTACAGGGAAAATCAAAGGGTGCTTAGCAAACAGCAAGCAGGACAAGGGATCCGGGCAAAGGAGACTTGTTCTTGCCAGAGGTTCCAGGATGCAAGATAAAAGGCAAACAACTCTGCAGGCTCCTGGCTTCCATTTTCCTTCTTCTTCACTCCCTACCCTCAAACCCGGGACAAAAACATTAATGTCGCTCTGCTAACTTAATAATTGCACTATAATTGGAGTTTATAAAGAGGGCCATTTCTCCTTGTTGTGCATGCCATTCTGTTCAGATGTCTAATGTCTTCCCCTTCACATTATTATTAAATACTTGATTCCATAACTTGCTATTAAAGTCAACGATTATTTACTGTGTACTCAGCATGTGCCAGACACGGCTAAGTACCCCAGGAGAGAGAGAGAGATGGCTAATATACCATCAGTGCAGTCCATTCATTCATTCATTCATTCATTCACCTAACAAATATATCTCTTGAGTACCTACTCTGTGTCAGGTACTATTCTAAATATTAGAGTGACAGCGATAGTCTAAGGACGTAAATGTGCAATTTAATGACCTGATCAAACAACTATACAAGTAAATATAACACAATGAAGAATATAAATAGCAAACAAACAAGCAAACAAACAAACAAACAAAAAAAGGTACAGGCAGGGAACTATGATATTTTGAAAGAAAAAGAGATCACAGTTGGCTGGGAGTGAAGAAAGGCTGGGGAGCGGGGCACAGGGCAGATGGGCCTTGACGAATGCACAGGAGAAAGAAGTGGGGTCCGAGTCTGCAGACCTGAGCCGAGGCCTGCAGCTGCGAAAGCATGGACTACACGCGGGGACTACGGAGAGCCAGATCCGCTGAGCACCTCGGCATAGGATGGGAAGAACTGGAAGACAGGACTACAAAGGTTAGTGGGTCCAAGTTATGGAAGTCCTCAGATGACTTTTGAGAAGTGAAGTAGCAAGACTAAGAGTTTGTGGAATAGACTGAAACACAGAAGAGAGAATGTAGGGCAAAAGGGAGGTGTTTCCCAAACTTTGTTTTGGCTCAAAGCTCATTCTGTAATAATGAATGGTTTGAATATACTGATTATTCCTTTGTGCACATGACCATTGGCCTTTGCAGAACTAAATGCAGACTTGAATATGAGGCCGAACAGTGTATTGAATTCACATACCAATGTTTTAACAAGCAGTCAAATCATCATTTTTTAAAAACATCGACTCATTTACATGAGTAAGGTAATATAAACATTTTGTTATTACTCACCAGAGACCCCAACAAATTGAAGAGCGTGACCCCAGAGCCCAGCCCTACAGGAAGAACGTTTGGGGGGGGGGGGAAGTGGGAGGACCCTCTGGAATCCACACCCCCTCACACCGGATGTCCCGAGTGGAGGACGAGAAGTGACGGTGTGTGCACCTCATGCCTTTCTGATTTCTCGGGCCGACTCTCTGACTCCTGTCTCCACTTGTTTGTATTCCTTTGTCAGTGCCCCTTCCTTTCAGATAGCTCCATGACTAGAACCACATTTGGGCTCATCTCTGGTCGAAGAGACCAGACACAGCTGCCTTTAGTCTTTGCTCCCCGTGCCCCTCAAACCTGGACTTCGGGCCAGGAGGAGCGGCTCGGCTGGCTGCGGCTTGAATGATTGCCGCCCGTTTGCCTGGGGAGAAACTCCAAGAAAATCAGGGCTCCGCCTGGTTATCTGAAAAGCAAACAGCTGTAAAGGACATGAAAGGAGACCACTTGTTCCTTGCTCGGTTCATCCGGAGCTTCAAGTGAATGAGCCCCCAGCGGCAGCCCATTGTTGGGGGAAATCCCTGGAGTTGGAGCCTTTGAAGTGCGAAGACCAAGATTCAGGTTTTACTCTGCACGGAGAGCAGTGGTGGATGCAGAGCCGGGCTGGGCCTTGGCCCGGGAGAGCGGCTACAGACTGCAGGCCCTCTCTGTAGGGCTGGTCAACAGCGGCTGCTTCTCCTACTCACAGTTGGTAATGAGAAGCAAATGCAGTCACCACAACGACGGTGATAAAGCATCTTGTTAATATAGACACTTATATTTCCCTTAGATAATCTGCGACTCACAATTTTTCCTGTTTTCTCTCCTGCTGATTTCTGCAGCATTCCCATTAGAGAATCCACACTGGATTTTAAGATCCCTTCCGGATGCTAATGTAATTGCTCTATAGATCTTCTCACAAACTCCCTGGGCCTCAAAACAAAAAGTTTAACTTTTAGTTCTTCCCCATTTCCACCACTTACTTAGAGACACAGCTTGCCATTTCACTAGTCCCTGAAAGTTATTCTTTTATTTTTAACTTTACTGAAGAATAATTGACAAATATAACTATATATATTTAATGTGATGATTTGATATACATACACACTGTAGAATGATTACCAAGATCAAGATAATACATCACCTCCATAGTTAACACAGTAAACTCTTTTGTGTGTGGTGAGAATACTTATCTTCTTTCACCAACTTGCAAATATATAATATCATATTACTAATTATAGTTGTCACGCTGTATATTAGAACCTCCAAACTTATTCTTACAATTGAAAATCTATACCCTTTGACCTACATTACTCCATTTTTCCTTCCTCCAGCTTCTGGAAACCACCATTGTATTCTCTGTTTCTATGACTTTAACTTTTTTTTTTTAAGATTCTACATACAAGTGATACCAAACAGTATTTGTCTTTGTCTGGCTTATTTCACTTAATATAATGCCCTCCAGATTCACCCATGTTGTTGCAAATGGCACCATTTCTTATGTTTATGTCTGAGTAATATTTCTGTGTGTATGCATGTGTGTACACTTGCATATACAGCCCCATTTCCTCATTAATTTATAAGTCAAATGACTCTTAGGTTGTCTCCATATCCTGACTATTGGGAATAATGCTGCAATAAATATAGGTGTGCAGCTATCTCTTCAAGATACTGATTGCAATTCACTTGGATATATCTCCAGGTGGAGGATTGCTGGGTCATATGGCAGTTCAATTTTTAATTTTCTGAGTAATCACCATATTATTTTCCATAGGGACTCTACCAATTTACATTCCCATTAAGAGTATATAAGGGTTCCCTTTTTTCCACATACTAAGCAATATTGGTTATCTCTTGTTTTTTTATAATAGTTTTTCTAATAGGTGTGAGGGAGTATCTTATTAAGGTTTTAAATTTCATTGCCTTGATGATTAGTGATGTTGAGCACCTTTTCATATACCTACTGGCCGTTTATATGTCTTCTTTGAAAAAAGGTTTACTCATGACTTTGCCCGTTGTTTAACGAGGTTATTTGCTTTTTATTTTACTATTGAGTTTCATGAGTTCTTTATATATTAGTGAATATGTTCTGCTATTCTATAGGTCACCTTTTAAATTTATTGATTGTTAGGGTCCTTGATCCAAAAAGCCAAAGCAATTCTAAGAAAGAAGAACAAAGCTGGAGGCATCACATATTCTGGTTTCAAACTATATTACAAAGCTACAGTAAGCAAAACAGTATGGTACCAGTATAAAAACAGAGACATAGACATGTGAAACAAAATAGAGACCTCAGACATTATGTGTGTGTGTGTGTGTGTGTGTGTGTGTGTGTGTGTGTGTGTGTATTCAACTAATATTTTTTTATCCTCACCCGAGGACATTTTTTGTTCAGACAGAGTGGGAGGGAGAGAGAGGAAGAGAGAGAGAGAGAGAAATATCAACGTGAAAGGGACACATCGAGTGGCTGCCACCCACACTACCAACCAGGGCCGGGGGCAAACTGCAACTGAGGTACATCCCCTTAGCGGGAACCAAACCCAGGTCTCCCTGGACCACAGGCCAACGCTCTAACCACTGAGCCAAACTGGTCAGGGCTATTCAACTAATTTTTGACAAGAATACACAATGGGAAAAGGATAGTCTCTTCAATAAATGGTGTTGGGAAAATTGGATATCTACATGCAAAATAATGAAAGGCATTTTTTTAAAATACATTTCACTTTATTAGTCAATAACTGTTGAATATGTGCTCTGTGCATGTTCTTTTCTTTTTTTTTTTTTTTATCCTCACCCGAGGACATTTTTCCATTTTTTGTACAGATAGAGTGGGAGGGAGAGAGAGGAAGAGACAGAGAGGGAAACATCGATGTGAAAGGGACACATCGAGTGGCTGCCACCCGCACGACCAACCAGAGCCGGGGACAAACTGCAACCGGGTACATGCCCTTAGCGGGAACCGAACCCGGGTCTCTCCGGACCGCAGGTGGACGCTCCAACCGCTGAGCCAAACCGGCCAGGGCTGTGCATGTTTTTTTCAAGTACTGACAGTAATGGAGATAGTGGTATGTACCTGAGCCTTGGGCAACCTGATAGTCCCACAGCCCGCCTCCTTCAGTTTCCCATTGCCCACTTACATTAAGCACTGTAACAACCGAGATGTCTGTCTTTGATCATTTTAGTTCCTAAACTCATCCATATACTTCATCTTCTCTCAGAAAAAAAAAAGTATCTGTTTGATTCTGGCCTTTTGTACTTTGACCAGGCAGTTGGGTCACTACCACTCAAGGGCTTGAGAAAAAAATATGATAACATATGTAAAGGTCTGAATTAGCGTTGGACTCATCATAGAAAGGTATTCTGATGGTCTCAGGAGTTGCAGGGCTGGTCAAATGGTCCCTTATGGAAAAAGGCACCCTGAAATGAAAGCAGGAGAGACAAACCACACAGTGAAAGCAAAATATCAGAATGTCAGGAAAGTCAACCAGAGGTGGATGCTGGAAGAGGTAAAATGAGGTCAGCTTGGTGGGTGGGTAGAGAGCATTGGAAAACCAACCATGTGATTTTAGGTTTGGATGAAGAGCTAACCAGTTTGCTTTTCAATCTGATCTTGTAATTCCCATCTGTCTCTTTTGGCTTCCTAAGGTTTTTGCAACCCTCCGCTGTTAGCATAGAACTTCTCTGGAATTGAGGAGTTGAAAGGGTGAGCTCCCTGATTTTGTATCAGGACCATTTTGTGGGATCTGATTTTTGCAACTCTTACCTTAGTTGTTAAGGTCATGGGCATGCCAGCCACAAAGACTTGTTCACATGCCGTGTTTGCCTTGGAACCAGTAGAGGTAGCACAGTAAAGGGAAAATATTTAGAAGTAGTTAAAGAAAGTGATAACTGTGATTACATAAACTTGCCTTATTTTCCTCTGAATGGTATCTGGATTATGGTTAACTACCCAGAGCCCTTTATTATGGCAATAATTGAATGGTCCAGAACTATATAAACCAGACTTAGAAAATAAACAGAGCATAGAAAATTCTATTATGCGTGCAGTTGCATGGGGTCTGAAGGAGAGGCAATATGAAACAGTTTGTAAGTATGTTTTCTGATTTAAAATACAGGTGGTTATGTTTTCAGAATCAAAATTGCCAGGGAACAGTTCTTTTTCCCTCCTACGGACTTTTCAAATTAAACCCAAATGGAATTTCTAAATATTAATTTGACACATAACCTCCCTGTTGGCAAGCCCCTCTGTTTTGGAATACCCATTTGAATAATGGGTATTTCCCAAAAGAACTAATAACTAATTTCTTAAAGGTCAAGCATCTTTGGAGATTGAGTAGATATTCATATTTTGGGGTACTCTCTTCCTAGATTTATCTTCTTTAAAAATTGCCAGTGAAGGAAAGTTTCAGATGATCCAACTCTCAGAATAGTTTAATAAAATGTTATTGCTATTTGCATCTCATGGGTCTCCTTGATCAATCGCACTGCATTACGATGACTGTTCGCAGAGGAGCTGTTTTCTTTCCTTTGAGGATGAACCTCACTTTCACGGGTCATGGCGTGTGGAATATTGCACAGGGTGTCGTGGGGACGGGGAGAGGGATGTTGCCTGTCGCTGTTTGCTTATGTTGTAAGTGCACTTGAGCCGAGTGACCCTTGAGTGGGGAAAGGTTCACAGTCCCACCTTCTTATCCTGGCTTCTTCCTGCCCTTCTAATTCTCTTTCACTTACTCACTGATGCCTGAATTCCCTCCACGGGCAAGGCAGGCCATCCCAAGAGACAATGATTCACTGAAAAGATCTCAAGAGCAAAATCTATTTCCAAGTGAGGTGTGAATAAGTGTCACCTGGTCCTTTATTCTCAGGCAAAGTGGGAGAGAAAAACAGAAGAAGGCAGGAAGATAGCAGGTGGGAGAGGGGGTCGGGAGGAACCCCCAGTGGTCGGGAGGAGAGAGGGAGGTACAGAAAGGAAAGGCTGAGAACCTGAATGAGCTTTTATTTTACAATTTGGCTTAATGTGGCCCTGCCCTATGTGCAGATAAGTGGTTGGGAAGTTGCCTAATATTCAGCCCAGCGATTTGGCAGTGGATATAGAGCAAAACAGAAGATGCTCTTGAGCGGATGGCAGAGCTTTGCCTTCTGGGTAACCAGCACACCCACAGCGACCACACCAAAGGTCCTCTGACGCGCTCTGGGGCCCGGGGGTACTAGAATCTGTGGACGTCATTTTAAGAAGGCTCTAAGTCTGGGGGCCCTCAGAGTTCTAGACTCTGGACTCATCTGAAACTAAGGCAGCCGGGGTGCATTGACATTTGTTTCCATTTCAGATCGCGTCTTCCATCCTCGTGGTCCTCCTCCTCACGTCATCTCTGGCCCTGACGGTGAGTGCAGGTGGCAGGATCCAGCCTGTGTAGTTTTCCTTAAGCAGAAGTATCTCATAGATGATAATCCAGGGTGGCTTTTCTCAAATTTCTTTTGAGTGTCCCTTTAAATCTGCAAGATGTGGACAAAGCAGAAACTCCGGACTTTCAACTCTCCTCCTTGTTGCTTGGTTTTTTCCAGAACACCAGTGACAGCCATCCTCTGGGTGGATCTGTTGGGACCCAGAGCATCCATGTCAATGTCTTCCGAGGTACGGTCAGCATCCGAGACAACAATGTTTTGAGTGAATGGGATGGAGTCTTGGACTACAAGAATGTAAGATGGGGAACACATTCATTACAATGCCAAAGCCAACCTTGTCTGCTCCAAAATTTAGCCTTATGCTTTTCCGAGAGAAGAGGACTCTGTCTACATTTGCCTTCTCTAGGTTTAGGCTCTCGATGGGACTACCCGTCTCTAGGTAAGGGACTAGCTTTCCTGCAGCTGTGTGACTTTGTTTCTGAGCCAGTCACTGTAGGAGGACCCTCTCGTTGTCTGTGGGGATCCCACTTTCCCTCGCGCCCCTGTGAGCCCTTGACGTCACGTGGCTCTGGAAGGTCTCTGAAACCAGAGAGCCATTTCGTATAACTGGTATATACTCTAAAGGTTCCTTTGTCTTGATCTCAGACCTTAATCACTTTATTTACAAAGAAGAGTGGTTTGCTCTCACTTTTAGAATCCTGCCGCACCCTGCCTGCCTGGGTCCTTAGATAAGAAGACCCAGCAGAAGACGCAGGACTGGGGAGCGGCCTCCTGTGTCCTGGGCCTGGCTCTCTGGCAGGAAAGTTCTAGAACCACAGGGACGGCACTCAGCCTTTCTGTGCCTTGGTTTTCTCATCTGCAAAACAGCGTCAGCGGCTGCCTTCCTTCCCTGAAAGGGCTCTGGGAGGGTTAGTGGCGTAAGAGCCCACACTCTTCACTCTGACATCCAGCCACTGCTGGTTAGGAGCCGCTGCGTCTACTCCGCACTGGACATCCCGGGACAGACACCTCAAATACAGCCTTTCTCCCGGCTCCCACGTGCTTCTTCTACCATGCTTTCCTCCCCGAACACATGCTCCGTCACTCTTCCCCAACCCGCCCCTGACTTCCTCAGGGAGACAGCTCCCGGAGCCTCCTACAGGGCATACAGTGTAGGGATTGCCAACTCTGTGTTAAGCCATAGAAACTTTTTTTTTTTCCAAACAATATATTCCATAGAATTTTATTATGTAGAACAGAAGTCATAACTGCTCTGGCTAGACGGGGGGAGGTGAGGTGACGTGTCCTTGGGCTCAGTCAGACACAGTGGAGAACCACTACTGTGATCCGGTGCTAACAGGCCAAATGACAGGGCAGGGCCACATGGAGGGGCAGCTGGTGGCAGACACAGGCCTAGGATCTGCGTCTAGAGGGTATGACCCAAAGATCCTAATCAGCCTACACATTCTGTAACAAGCAGGATGCTTTCACAAGCAGTAGCATGTTATCTCATCCTCTCATCGTCATGGCAACCCTGTGGGGGAAGGCCTATCGTTTCTCCTTTATAGATGGGGAGGCTGAGGGTCATGGAGGCAGCTCAGCACCATGACAGCTGCCAAGTGCCAGAATAGGACCTTAAAGTCAGCTTTGTTACCGAGGCTGACTCCGGTCCCACCAGTCCATCAGTGGTGTGCAGAGTGACCTGTGGGATTTCTTCCCAGGCCTGCGGTGGACAGTGCCACCCGGCCCTGGGAGCAGCAGGGCTGTATGTGCATCGCCAGTCCCGCTGCCGGCCCTTCGCTCCAGCGCCCAGAGCTGCACTCTCCGCATCACAGCTATTTGCCAGCGCCGATGGTGGGCAGGAGTCCACTGATACTATGACTATGAATGACATGGTTCTGCTGTGTTGCTTTAAGGCCCTCTTGGTGGCTAAGCTGTATAGCAAGATGGCTTGTGTCTTGGCCAAAATGGATCAAGATGCCTTCCCAACTCTGGATGACATTACCAAGGCCCTGGACCACCAGGTAAGTGAGACCAGCTCATTATGGACCCCTCCTATTCTGGTGTTTTGTAACTCTGCATTCCGATTTCCTGGGGCAGTGGTATATACACAGAGGGAACTCAGTTCATATTCATGCTTAATGCCCTTGAAATCTTATCTTCATGCAAAGAACCCCAAGTCCAGTCTATGGCCCATCTAAGTCAAATCATAACCTGATCAATAAAAATTCCACGTGATGCCCAGCTGGCATGGTTCAGTGGTTGAGCACTGACCCATGCACCAAGTGGTCACTGGTTCGATTCCCAGTCAGGGCACCAGGCTGTGGGCCCGATTCCCGGGGTGGGGCATACAAAAGGCGGCCAGTTGATGTTCTCTCTCAATGTTTCTATCTCTCTCTCTTGCTTCTTCTCTCTCTAAAATCAATAAAGAAAAAAGATGTTTTAAAAAATTCCATGTGCTAACGTAATTTTAATGTATTCCAAAAGGGTATGAGCTACATGTTTGTGGATATAAATATTGACTATAAATATTAGAGTAAATTAATAAAGTGTTCACGTCCCCATGTCTTCTCTCCTCCCCTGCACCCCACCCCCACCCATCACATAGGTACATGTCATCTTCAGATGACAACAACCCCAGGTCTGCTGAAACTCTCTTTCTCTCAGCCTCTCAAATGACAAGTATAGTCAAATAAGTTAAAAATCAGCAGGAAGTCCTTGGCAAGTCATTGAAATGTGCTGTCATTTGCTTCTCTAGTAACCTGCCCAGACCATTTGAGCAACATTAATGTCCATGGCAGGAGAGTCACAGAACTTGGGGGGAAATGCACTTTGGGTCACATAGAAAGAGAGGTAGAAAGTATTCCACTCATCTGATTTACAACAGGTAAGAACGTAACATAAATCACAAATAATTTTAAAACTATTCTATATTATCACCTCAGCTGAGAGAAGTTGAGAAAGTAAGAAAGTTTAAAGGAATACAAACCGAGTCACGAAGACACACAGGCTCACTCAGAGTTTTCTAGAGTAATGTTGCCGCCTTGTGGCCACAGAAGATATTGCAGCTCGAGACAAAGCAAGGGCAAGTTTGGGTTTACAGCTATTTCTGTACAGTGGATCACGCCTGGGTGCTGAAATCCGTCTCCTGTCTCTTCTTCCTTGCTGCACCGCCTCCATGTGCCGTCTCACTATATTCAAATACCATGTCTTCCAGGCTTTAAAGCATTATCCATCCACGCGCGGCCTGACCTACACGGTTTTACCCAGCCGGGTCAAGAACTTATCACAGTACGGAATGCCCATCAAGGACATGTGCCGGGAGGTCCCTACCTACTTTGCCCAGCAGCAAAAAGAAGGTGTGTTAGTAACTTAACTAGAAACCAAAGACCTTTGGTGACACACAACAATTTTTAGCTCACTGGCAAATTCTAATGACAGTGTGTGGGTCTATTCCATTTCTTTGCTACTGGGTATAAAAGTCATGTGACCTGGGATAGATTTCCCCTGGTGGCAAAGGTGACTTCCTGCCATCAGGGCTCATTGGGAACAGGAAGCAGAGTTCGTTTAGCTTTACCGGAAGGGTGAGGACAGTCATCTGATCAGGGGGGTGTGGCAGGTGGTGGAGCCCTCACCTGACCCACAGCTTCATCACCCCCTGCCCAACGGCACAGTGCCTGTGTCCCATCATTACAGGTCCATTGCTTGGGGTTCTCAGTCCTCCTCTTTCTCAGGCTTCCCAGAGGTTGGAAAGCAGGACCCTAAAAACTATAGACTGCGCTGGGAAACAGTGGCTGACACCCTGCTGGGGATATGGTGGGGATCAATGGTGGCCCGGCCAAAAGCTACTAGATAAGATTCAAAACTACCTGCTATTCCAGACACAGGCAGTGACGGTTCCCATTAGGCTACGGCCAGTCACTTACACCTGAGTGTAAAGTAACCCAGTGAACAAGGCTTCTTCATAACAAGAGGATCCAGCAAGAAAGCAGGGAGAGCTTGAGGGGCTGAGGGTGAGGAGGATAATTAAAGATCAACAAAATAAATAGAAAGAGGGGGTGTGGGGGCCAATTATTGCAGCAAAAGAGAGAGCTCCCATTTTAGTCCCACAGTCCTGAGCACAGCATCCGATTCAAGTGCAAGTCATAAGATACCTCGCCTTTGGGGTCTTAAAGGGATTAAGTGATCCTTTTGTAAAGTGCTTCTCTTTCTTCTTAAAGGTGCTGTACTGGCAGTTAACCCTGACTCGTGTTTTGAAGTGCAGCTTCTGTCCTTTATGGGGCTCTCCATCTGTGGTGAGATCCCTGGGCTCTGAACCTCCACACCGGCCACGTGGAGAACGGACCCGCCGAGATGGGACTACTGGCCTGAAACCAGCCCTCGGGGGCTCAGCACTGCCCCTGTACCAATAAAACCCTCCTCGTTTCCACCTTCTACCTTTCGATCCAAGACCCAGCTTCGTCATCTGGAAAACTGGGTACAATTTTTCCTTCTGGGTTAGAACAATAAAGTTTCTTGCCTCGCTGGTCTAGCATATGATGGTTTAACCCTCCTGCCTGCACTGTCCTCTCTCGAGTCACCAGCATTGCCACCCACGTGCAGTCCACGCAACTGCATGCCGGGGTGTGCGGGGCAGGCGCCTCTCCCGGAACGCCTCATTCCTAAGGGCCTCTCTTTGGGGCGTCCCTTAAAGCATCCCTTGAGAATTCTGGCGGTAAATAAATAAGCAACAAAAAGACACTAGCCACAGCATAGACATGCCGGCAGGTCTAAGGCCACGTCCCTGACTCCTGCAAATTGGTACTGAGATTCTACTCACCGTGGTGACCCAGCTGGCACCATGGGAACCCCCAAGAGAGATCCAAATGAAATTAGGCCCCAGACCCCCCTTCGGAACTGGTCTAAACCCCTTAGTGGTAACGCCCCGACATTTCTCTCTTAGCCCTGGTTCTTTAACTGCCCATTACTGCGGGGGGCAGAGACAGCTCCGCCCATACCACACAGAACACCCCTGGCTCCCCTTGCCTTAGAAACAAGAATGAACAGAGGAAGGAATACTGGAGAGACAGATGCAGATGTCACAGAGGTTGTGTGGAGTTGGGAGCTCTTTGGATGGGCGGGACTGGAATGGGGTTGAGGGGAGGGAGTACCTGGAGTGGGAGAATTCTGAGTGATCTCATCACCAGTTTGCAGGGGACGGAGCTGCGCGTCAGCTCTGCAAAGTTGTGATGTGGTGCGGCTACCTACATCACCAATGGAAAGGCATCCGCGGGGACAGGTCCAAGATAAACCTCTGGGCTCAATCAGGGCATGGCTGGGTAGGCCACGAGCTTGGAACTTACGGATTTGGGCACATGTGTCTTGTTGAGGACGAAGAAGGTGAAGATAGGTGCATAGACACATTCGGGGTGGAAGTACAGTGTGACAGTCCCTGAGAGGACCACAAAGCAGGGTCTGGCCCAGTGAGTCCAGAGTTAAGTCCTCATGGCTGTCCGTCCACCCAAACCTGTACGCACCTCGTTGCTGACCGCCAGCCTCCACCTTCAGCCCAGCTCCAGGAACAGTCCTGTCTTTCCGCATAGCTGAGTCCCTGTTCCAGTGGCCGGGACCCTGCTCCTGGGCCCTCTCTTGGGGCGAGGACCGCGGCCTCCTGACTGCTTTTCCGCCAACCTCCTCTCCCACCACCCTCACCCAGACATCGCGCACAAGCTGCTCCTGGATTTCCCGTGACCGGGCTCCACCCGACTGTTGTAACAAACCTGATCCTCCTGATGTCAAGACCCCGCCCTCCATGCACCCCTCGTGTGATCATCCCCGCAGACAGTCAGCCAGAGTGTCTGGGTTCGAGGACTGCTGCGTGCTGGGCCGTCAACGGGGCTGCAAGGTCGACCTTGGTCCTTCCGGTTATAGTTCAATCATGATTTTATAAAGAATCTTCCATGCATGCACCAGGCTTTCGGTCGTCTAGGAGTTGGGACTGGGAGGGCAAAATTCAAGAATGACATCGACCAGGTGGCTTATACACAACAGGCGTTTATTTCTCACAGTTCTGGAGGCTGGGGATCCAGGCACCAGCAGCTTCTCCGTCTGTTGAGCTCTCTCTTTCTGGCTCACAGATGGCCGCCTTCTCACTGTGTCCTCCCTCTGGCCCTCCCCGTGGTGGAAGGTACAGGGGAACTCTCTGGGACTTTTTTAATGGGGCACATTGGGGATTAGGTTTCAATATACGACTGTGGAAGGGGCCCACAAACACCGAGTCTATAGAGCCACCATTCTGATCACCACTGCTAATGTTTATTCTGGGAGTTAATCTAATCCAGCACTCCATACAGTTGACCATATTTGAATCTCAAGCCAGCGTGTCTCATCCTGACCCAAACACATTGCACATTTCTCGAGGCCACCAGCCTTCTGTTGAAAATGTGATCACACACACATTAAAGCAGACGATGTCCTCCACCCGTGACTGAAGAACTCGTGCTTCCGGCTGAGTCCAATGTGCTCATCTTTAAGTCTCCCTGGGAGTGCCTAAGAAATGGCTATGACCTTGACCCTAGATGTTCCAAGGAAATTTTTCTATTTTCTTTGCTTTTGTCCCCCTCCTGGGGCAGCTGCTGTCATTGACCTCTCCCAGAATCGTCCACATGCCTCTGACAAGCAGGAGAAGGGGATGGGGAACCTACAGCTGAGGCCTCCACCGCCTGCTGCCCCTCTGCTGGGGGGCCCCCGCTCAGACCCTGCCACCCCTGCGGAGCCTCGGGGCTCACAGGAGCAGGCCTCTGGACTCAACACAGAAAGAGGGCGGTGCCTCCCCGCCCACGATTCCGTGCCCACGGTTTACATCGCTGCAGCGCACACCCCGTCTCTTAGAGAGACGGGAGCCAGAAGGGCTGTTCCCTGCGGCACCTCCTGTTGCTTCTCTTCGCAGTCCCCGCCCACCACCCTGGGCCTCGAGCTTGTGCCCACCGGAACGCGCCAGGGCGTGCCCTTCCCTTCCAGGATTTGCTGTTGGGCTGACGGTGTCCCCGATCTCAGGCCGTGTCCTTGTCCCCCTGGGAACGTGCACTCAGAGGGGGCACCACAGTCCTTGGTCATGTCTAAATCCGAGCAGGGAACCACACAAAACCCCTCCAAATCTCAGATTCCTGCAGACGTCCACCTTGCCCGGGAGGCCCTTCTCAGAGAGAGGAGATCCAAGACAGAAGTCAAGTTCCCCGGCCTCCTTGTTCAGAGAACGGCCTTTGGGGGAGTCTTGTTCCCTTCCCTCGCCCCTTCCACCTAGATGGTGGCTCCCCTAACTCTCCCATCACTCCTGCTTCTGCGCAGCCTCACGGAAGAGCCCGCTGAGCCCTGAGCCTGGGGTCTGCGGGGGCGGGTGAGCTGGGTCCCCAGCCCAGGCCAGTAGCTGCCCAATGTTTATGCTCTGGCTCCGCCCACACACGCTGTTTCCCAAGGGATCAGCACAGGGGCCTTCATCCTGCCTGGAATGTGCCGCTGGCCATCCTGCTGTCTCCTGGGGTGGGGACACCATCCCCGCAGTTTAGCCTAAAAACCGAAATCGTGGTACTTATTTCTATAGAGCCTTTCATTGGCCTCATTTTTGGAGGTGTTGTTCCAGGAGGCTGTGCCCCCAGCCCTCCCCCTCACGCAGGCTGTGCCCCCAGCCCTCCCCCTCTCGCAGGCTGTCCCCCCAGCCCTCCCCTCACGCAGGCTGTCCCCCCAGCCCTCCCCCTCACGCAGGCTGTCCCCCCCAGCCCTCCTCCTCACGCAGGCTGTCCCCCCCAGCCCTCTCCCTCACGCAGGCTGCCCCCCCCAGCCCTCTCCCTACGCAGGCTGCGCCCCCCAGCCCTCCCCTCACGCAGGCTGTCCCCCCCAGCCCTCCCCCTCACGCAGGCTGTCCCCCCCCAGCCCTCTCCCTACGCAGGCTGTGCCCCCCAGCCCTCCCCTCACGCAGGCTGTCCCCCCCAGCCCTCTCCCTACGCAGGCTGTGCCCCCAGCCCTCCCCCTCATGCAGGCTGTGCCCCCCAGCCCTCCCCTCACGCAGGCTGTGCCCCCAGCCCTCCTCTCACACAGGCTGTCCCCCCAACCCTCCCCCTCCCCCTCACGCATGCTGTCCCCCCAACCCTCTCCCTCCCCCCTCACGCAGGCTGTGCCCCCAGCCCTCCCCCTCACGCAGGCTGTCCCCCCAGCCCTCCTCCTCGAGCTGAGCTGCCACCTTTGTGGCCCTACATTTCCCCACAGGACTAGACCCTCTGGCCTGTCCCCAGACCCTGCGGCTGGAGCACGAGGGCCTCAGGGCTGCTGTGGGCTACCCATAGCCAAGGCCACCTTGCAGTGTTTCCTAACCAGGCAGTGGCCACGTGTGCCCGGCCACTCTGCCTGCGCTCCTAACAGCTATCCAGTATGACACCAGCCCTGAGCAGGGCTGACGAACTCAAGGAAGGCAGAGTCATGGAAAAGTAGAACTCAAAGGTTTGTTCTAAAAATGGCAATAGCATTATAAACATTAATGAGGATAACACATCTCTGAGCAGTAGATTCCAAAGGAACTTGCCAATTAAAACATCCCTTCTTCCCACCCCACCCCCACCAGTCCTGGCCACAGGAGTGAGAATCCGCCCCAAGTTATTCAATGATGGTCCTTTCCAGAGGTGTTTAAATTTGAAATTCAAACAAGAGGAGTCTCCTCCTCTCCGACGATGATGCTGGGAAGATGGGGACCTTGGTGCTGACGGCAGTGCTGAATTCTGCCCTCATGGAGCAAGCTGATGGAAGGTACTGAGGCTGACGTAGAGAGAAAAAGAGTTGACACAGGGCAAAAAGGAGTCTGGCCACCTTCCACTATCTAGTTCCAGCCACCCAAGGCCAGCATATGCCTCTCCCTCTATAGTCAGCTGAGGCAGTGAATTCCACGCCATGTAGCCTCTGTGAATTCGATTCGGGTTCCATCACCTGCAAACATCAAGGTCCCAGCCAGCACACCCTACCATGCATTTGGCAGTTTATCCTGCGCTCTTTTACTACGGTTACAAATGTTGTCATATAAATGTCTCACTTCCCCAACAAGAAAACAACTTTCTTGACTAGGACGGCTTTGCCTTGGGCCCCCTCTTCTAACACACCTACCCCAGTGCTGAGTGCTTTCAGTACACTGAGTAATGGTTATTAAGAAGTACAGTTTTAAGAAAAGGAACAGTCGATGACAGATAGAAATTCTTGTTAAAGTGGTTCTTTTTTTTTTCCCTGAACTTGGGCCCAGCTGATCCGTCAGCATGAGAACCGGCTACGTGATCTGGAAATTTGCCCATATTTTCCCATTTCTTCGACATATTGGAAATTGCTTCCCTTCTACATATGGAATTGGCATTTCCAATTAGATTCTTACATCTGCTAAGATTTTCAGCAAGGTACATCTTTCCCTGGGTGATGGGTGCTCCAACCTCCCTCTCTCCTCACTCCGGGACAAAGTAAACGTGAGAGTGTTTATGAAGGTTGAGTCTACTGCTTTGATGAGCTAAAAGGCCCGCGAATGGCCCTCAAAGCTGGGTGCTTTGTCAGAGAGGAGTTTCCTTCATCTGAGCAATCAAGTTGTTTGCTAAGGGTACCCCAAATCCACACCCCTTCACTAGGTGGATGCCAGTGCTGCCTGCGTCCCTGCTCCCCCCGGGCTGCCCCGGGACGTTGGACAAATAAAGGGGCGGCTGGTCAGTGCGCAGAGGTGGAGATGGAGACCCGTACTCACAGACCAGCCTGCATGGGACCCAGCGTGCTATCTGGACACGCTCACACTGTATGCACCTTACTTGAAATCCTGGCCATTTCTTTCCTTCTATATATTGACATAGACATTATTTGACATCCCTTTGCTGTTTACAAAAAAAGCAAACACTCAGATACCTGTACATGTAGTATTTATGTTTTACTACTGAATCTCAAAATCAGTTGGGGCTTTGGGAAAGCATTTAATGTGGCTGCTGAGTAGAAACCAAAGGGTGTAGAAAAGATGCCACCCGGGGGCTGATGCTCAAACGTGAACGTCTGCACAGACGGAAATCCCGAAGATGCCCAGGAGCCCAGCCTTTGCACAGCCCTGAGCACCGATGTCATCTGAAAAGGGGGGACATATTTGAAGAGAGAGAGCATTAAGAAATACATTATTAGAATGCAGCAAACCAGAGCCTTTTGTAAATGTCTTGACTGGAGGCTGCACATGTCATTTCATGTTATCCAAGATCTTAGCTATGCGTGTACTACCGAGGAGAATAAAATACTAGCTTAGGTAGAATGACAACTCCCAGAAGCGCTGTCTGGCTCAGTTCGGTTGCTACTGTGCATTAAAGCCATGCCTGAGTGCCTTCGCTTATAAATAATCATGACCTTACCAAAAGAAAAAAAAAGTGTCTTAACTCAAAACTACTTCTGGGCAGTAGAAATGTGTTGGGTGCTAATCTTTCTCTTTATCTACCTTCCACTACTTTGGGGAATTGTTGTTGCTGTTGTTGTTTGCGACACCTGTCGCCCGGCCTCCTTCACTCTGGCCTCTCTTCCCTAAACCTTGCGAAAAGATGCCAGGAACGACCGCAGTGACCCGAGTCGCTTTCCGTCCCCGTCCGAGCACTTTGCCTGCTTTTTCTTGGACCAACTTGACCCTAGACTCTGAGAATGTTACTCTTTAAAAACCTTTTTGAGGAATAATTGACCAACCTGGCTGTATGTGTTTTAACTGTCTGACATGATGATTTGATATACATGCACATTGTAGAATGATTAGCAAGATCCAGCTGACACACCCATCGCCTCCACAGCCGACACCGGCAACTCTGCTCGGCACGTGTGGTGAGAATGCCGAAGATCCCTCTCACCAGCTTCAAGTGCACAGCACCGTGCTGTTAACTATAGTCACCACGCACACCATGTGCATAGTACCTTAGAGACTCCGTCGTTTTTCCTTGACACCCAGGAGTCGTTTTTATTCTATCCTCTGTGCTAACTGGTCAACTCCACCAGACAGTGTTCCTTGGGGACAGAGTTTTCTTCGTTTCTGTACCTCTCCTAACCTTCAGCAAAATTTCCACACATGGTTGGCATTTCATTCCCAAAGTAGGACAGCTTGAGCCATGTTTTATGTGTATTTATATCTCACACACCACCCAGCAGAGTGTTGGCACAGTAGAGCTTTCAGAAGAAACTTGGTGAAGGAATGATTTATTGGTACTCACGTGTTCTTTCAACCACTTCCCCCTTGTACAGGGGAATGTGTTTGCAGAGCTGCTCGATGGGTGACCCGAACACGAACCACTTCACGTCTGTGAGCAGGGACTGCAGCGGGTTGTACTTGACCCAGGTGTATTTGTTGGAGAACATGGTGTTCAGAGCCTAGATCAGGATGACGGAGTGGGATTGGGTAAAAATATGTTGACATAATCTGGCGTGCCGCATTCTAAATTGTGACTTTTTCTCTTTCAGATTATTCAGTAGTAGGTGGTCAGGAATCTCAAGGCGTCATCTCTTTCTGACCACTGGGTCTTCAGAGAAGCCTCATTATTACCAATATTATTTTGCGGGTGGTGGTGGTGAAGCCCAGAGAGGGTGATTCCTGTGCCCAGGATGGCACAAATGGGAAGTTACGGAGGGAGAATTAACCCGGGACTTCTAGCTTCACGTAGTGTTTGTTCTCACTACACTATATTATTTCTTTACACCTGTCTCATTGAATAACTCCACTCCTTTTTTGTTTTTTTTTGTTTTTTTTTTGCCATTCACTATTTCTTAGAGCTCTGCTCTGAGAAGAAAAGCCATGTAGTACTTTCTACAGAAACACTGGAATTTACTACAAATTCTTGTATTTGGGGCTCTGTGGTGGAAATCAAGCTAAGAGACGTACTCCTGTACCAAAGACAATAAATGTGAAAACACTCTAATCCGTGGGCAGTCATAAGGTATAATGTTATGATCCTTCACCCTCTTCATTTCTCCATAGTCACCAGAATTCCCTGGCTCAAGAACAGGGACTATTTAGGGGACTCCAGAATTACCTGCCTCTCGTAGATGTACCGTTTGAGTTGGTCCAGAGCAGGGATGGCTTCATGGTTCATCTTCAGGATGTAGCAGGCTCTCCGGGAGAGGATCCTGGTGGCGATGTAACCCTGAGGCGGCAAGAGAACAGTTATAGCCCCTCCCAGTTCCCTGGGTTCTGAACCGGAGAGAATGACGTGTGAGCCTTGAGAAAGACGTGAGTAGGCACAGTGAGTGTTTGTGATGGATTTTTAATCCGCAATCAGTCCTCCCCATTCAACTTCTTTGACATGGCACTTTTGTTTTTCCACATGCCATCTCTGTCTCTGGAATCGTGGAAACACATGCTTTGTGCCCCACTGTTCACGTTACGGAACCAGAGTCTGCCGTTCGCAATTTGAACGGTTGAGGAGCAGCGGCTCTTTGTCTCTTTCTGTTGATTTTGTCCAGCCTCCTCCTCGACTTGGAACACACACAATATTCTTTAGAACTGTGCTTTCCAATATGTTCATTATTGGCCACATGTAGCTCTTTACATTTAAATTTAAAATCCAATACAATTTAAAATGTATTTTCTTTGTCCCACTTTCCAAGGGCTCAACAGCCACAAGTAGCCAGTTGTTTCCCTGTTGGGAAATGCAGATGTAGAACACTGCAGAAGGTGCCATTGGGCAATGCTGGTCTAGGACGTCTCCTCCGTATACCCATGCCCACCCTCACGCCCTCCCGCTCCCCCACCCCCGCACACACACACATGCTTCGTCTAGTCGTCCGTCCTCAACCACCATCTCTCCATCTTTTCTCCACCTCTAACCCAAGCCGGCCGGGTGGGGAGGGGTTGGAGGAAGCTGGAACTGGAAGAGCAATGGACGGTGAGGACCTTAGGACCAGAGGGACCAAAGGCCGTCTAATCTTCATCTAGAGTAGAGCTTTTCAGAGTTCCAAATAATTACACAGCCTAGAAGGCTGTATATAACATAAACCCTTCTACTTCCTCCTTTTCAATTCTCACACATTTCCAGTTCCTACAATTAAAAAATAAACAGAGGCTAAGCATCGTGACAGCAAAAGAGGTTGAGATCAAATCTCCACCACTTCATTTTTTTCAAGACACTTTGGGATTTTCTTGGTATCAGCTTAAAACCAATTTCAGCGCAACTTCCTTTTTTTTTTTTTTAATATTTTTTATCTTCACCCAAGGACATTTTTGCAGTTATCTTCAGGTAGGGAGGGAGAGAAAGAGGGAGGGAGGGAGGGAGAGAGAGAGAGAGAGAGAGAGAGAGAGAGAGAGAGAAACATTGATGTGAGAGAGACACATCAACTGGTTGCCACCCACATGACCCCAAACAGGGCCGGGGACAAACTGCAACCGAGGTACGTGTCCTTAGCGGGAAATGAACCCGGGTCTCTCTGGTCCGTGGCCTGGAGCTCTAACCTCTGAGCCAAACCAGCCAGGGCAGCACAACTTCCTTTTAACCTGTATTTTTTAAAGACTCTATACGTTCAAATGTGCCCCGGATTCCCCAATACCAATGTGGAGAGAGCATGTGAGGGTGTTTCCACAAGAAAAGGAGAGGCAAAGGTGTTCAGATCGCCGGGGAGGTGGACGACAGCCTACCGGCATCCCCAGCGCACAGCTCAGCCCCAGGTACAAGCGGACTCACGGTGTCGGTGGAACAAACGGAAACAAGCCAATGAATGCATGGGTGGAGTCCAGAATATGTTGTCTGAGCAGGTTTCTGAGATTTGTTGTTAATAACAGCAGCTAAAACTTGGAAATAGTTTGGTATTTTAATTAAAATACTTTCCTTCTGGCAGAAGCAGCTTGATTTATTGCATAGCCTATGTATGTGTGTAGTTTTGTGTTGGATTTCTGGATTTGTGACTGTTTCATGGTTGTTCTTTTTCTGAACAATTGTTTTTGTATGAGAAGCCATAATTCATTCATTTATTAATAATTCAACAAATATTTTTGAGGGTCTGTGTGCCGGGTGTTGCTTTGGGCTTTGGTCATTCTTTCTGAGCCTGTAGCAAGACAGTATCATCATGCTTCCAATTTCCACCTGAAAAGTCAAGTAAATATGTATGTTCCCTCTTACATCTTTTTCTTATGGATGATTTTGTTTGTTTGTTCATCAATAGCTTGATTATTTAAAAGGAAAAGCAGAAGTAAAGAAATTCTGATGGAATTGCAGGACAGATTTTATGATTCAAATATGTGCTGAATGCCTGCCCCTCTGGCCTTCAGAAACCCAGTCTTGAAGAATAGAAAAATCCCCTTGCTGCTTACATGTTTATAGTCAAAGACCGTGGTAGAGGAGCATGATCCCGCATGGATGTTAACGATGGCGGTATTTTTTTCATTGTCGATTGTCACTGTCTCCTGAACATTGCCACCACTGTTGTTAGGGCTGACGATGTTATAAACCTAGATTGATAGCAAAAACATAATGGTTTATCCATAAATCACATGCATTTGAAAGAATGCTTCTCAGCAAACTAAAGCCTTCCACCTGCTATAAACAAGAAATCGAAGCCTGCAACCTCTCCACTAGGATCCCAGACCAAAAGCACATGTTAAAATATGAATGCAAAAGTCCTCCTCATAGTTGACTATTATATGGGAGAAGCAATGAAATCACAGGAGAAATGAGACTGACCACATTTTAAAGCAATGGTTTACATTCTTAAAGGTATTGCAGTTGGAAAGAAACACTCAATGTCATTGTTTTCATTCTTGGTTATTTCTGGGATTCTATCTCCAATAGGTCATATGGACTCTCTACTGTCCTTCAAATGATCTTGTATCTCCCTCTTCCTCTCCCACCATCTCCAAGCTATAAAGTCAATAATGAATCAACTCACCTCAAACCCGTGAGATTGTATTCCAAAGATGGCCAGCACCACCAGAGATAACACCTGAAAAACAGACCAGTCATTCCCATCCCCTATGTGCTAGTCATTGAAGACAGAGACATGAGGGGACACTGGACAGGACAAACATACATATCTCAGAAAATGTACACCTAGAGACACTGGTGTGTGGTCATGGATGGTCAACAGTCCCATTTCCAAAATATAAAACACACACACACTCACTCATTTGACAGGTTCATGCTATTTGCCAAACACAAGGTTCTACCTTTTTCACCCAGTTCCCAGCCCTTCCCGCGTGTTTTATGCCAGGAAGAACTTGGGGCAGGTGAGCAGTGAGAAATGACCGATCTTACTGTGGGAGTACCCTGGTGCGGTTCATTCTGGTTTTGGATTGCAAGAGGTCAATGTGTGTCCTCTGATAATAATAATAATAATAATAATAATAAGGGTAAACAGATTGAAAATGGATTCATGGGCAATCGATATAATGGGTTTCTAAGGGAAACTATGAAAATAAGATGCTTGCAGACATAATTACTTTTCGAAGCTGACATCAATGAAAATCTCCTATTTTCCTACAACCCTTGCCTTAGTGTTACCATCGGACAGATGCCAGGCTGTGGAACTGACACGGAGGCAGTTTTGTCATTTTGCTATCGTTGTAAAAGTCTAATTCAATATTCTGGCCCTGGTTGTGCGCTTTCTTCTGAAATGACAGATGCTGCGATGAAAACTGTTGCTGGAGGGAGTTTGCTAGGAGACAGGCACTTTTAAGAACTGTCTGTGGGACTTTTCTACTGCCCTTTCTATATTGGCAATAACATGTATCTGCTGACGACTGGGGGCGGGTGTCTAACAAAGACCTCTGTGCAGATATCCCAGCTGCCTACCTGCACAGGGACACATCTTCTCCATCCACAGTCTGGTTCTGGTAACCTCAGACACTCCTATGTATTCTATTAATAGGTCTACTACAGAGGTGTAAACAGGTGGGTGGAAGACTGACCACCTTAGCGGTATGATTAGAGAGAACTCAGGAAATAACCACCTACTCAACACTGTGATTATTACACCACAGTTATAGGTCTGAGCTTCAGGTTAGGTCTCCTCTTGGAAAATCAAGAGACTCGCAGGAGAGGGCATTCTTTAATCTGACAGTCTCTAACACCTTATGAAGAGGTACTTATCATTTCGCTTTCTCCCTCAGCTTCTAAATGAGGATAAAGGCTAGAGCCTGGGGCAAAGAGTTTCAAGAGCATAGTCCACTGCGTATGAAGCACTGCAGTGAATGATGGGAGACTGGGGTCTGGCTGGGGTCGGGTAGAGGAGTAGGGGTGATCACGACAAGGATGCTTCGCATAATCTCTTCTGTACGTAAGGCCTAAGATGGGTAAATTTCAAGCCTAAATCCCAAATTCACTGGCTTGTAAAAATCACATTCCTTCATGCCTCAGTCTTCTCATCTGTACAATGGGGTAGTACTACTCAGCTCATAGAATTGTTGAAGTGAATGGATGAAATTATTCATGTGAAATGTTTAGCATAGAGCTTACTGTAGTCTTGGGAAATGACTACTGCTGTTATTGTTGTTGTTAATATTGTTAATGTTATTTTTAAGACAGTAAATGTGGTTATCCTAAAATGCCTACATTCCCTCCAAAGCTTATAATAAGAATTATTATTAAAAATCTTCCAAATTAAAATTCTCTAGCATTTCCAAAATTTTTTCTTTGTAGTTTTTATGGGACATCTCGAAACAAAAAAATAAACAATAGACAAATAAACATTCGACTTAATATTCAACACTATTGCTGACAAAGACATCATTAATTCAATCACAGAAGCTTAGAAGCATGCACCGTGCCTAAGAACCCTGAAATCCAACGCATACTAGATATGAACATTCTCTGTAGGCAGCCACCGCGGGAGTATAGAGAAGCGTAAACAGATACTCACAAGGATTTTCATTTTGTCTGAAGGGAAGAAGGTTCTGGAGCAAGTGAGGCTGCCTGGAGCAGCTCCTACCCTTTATATTGGCTTTAAGGTGTGGAAATCTGTTTCCAGATCGATCACTTTGGGAAAAGGTGTGTCATATCTGACACGCCCCAGCAAACTCCTTTATCAGGAATGGGACTCAACCACATAACCTGGTATCAGTGAAGTTCATTAGTCAGTAATGAAAATTCACCACTTGGTCATTCTGTAAATATTCCCTGCTTATCGGCTCTATGTTGCACTTGAGAGTTCAATTTCCACCCTTTAACAACATTGCAAGGTGCTTGTTTTTACACAAACATATTGCAGACATATAAGGGCATATTCTTAACGTTACCCCCTGATGGTAAAGCCCTCCCTTAAGACCTGAGTTGGGGTCCCCACTCAGTGTCTTTTCATCCCTGCCCTGCTTGTTGAGTCCTCCACCCAAAGAATGGACAAGAGGACAGTGGCAGGGTGACCTGTTTTGAGAACAAACAACCTTGTGACTTTCTCTTCTCCTTTAGAGCTGGTGCCAATTTCCAGAGATTCACGTGGTATAATAGGGTCCAGAGATTTTCTCTGTCCAATTACCAGGGTTAGCCAAATTTTAATATTAAGCCTTGCCCAACCCATTGTGAAAACTGGTTTTTATATCTCTGGTTATCGTAAGGGGCATTGAGAAATTCTCAGGTTAACAAAATAGAAAGAATAAAATTTCATTGTGTAATTTTTATAACGCCACAATCAGAAACGGCTAGCTAGTGTTAGGGTGGGATCATGAGCTCAGAAGGTGGGGAAAAACAAAACAAAACAAAAAACAAAACAAAAACAAGAAATTGCAAAATTGGTAAATATTGAGAATCACTACAGTAAGCAAAGAAATAACATAAGTGATGTCTTTGATCTACAACTGCAGTGACTTCCTTAACTAGCAGCTTTTTAAAATGGGGCTTTTAAAAAAGACCTTTGGATCATTTGGGGGTTACTTAGTTCACTGGAATTCTCTACACTGGCTCTTTAACTGGGGTGGATGTAAAATGTGCTGCCTTTTTTTTTTTTTTTTTTTTACCTTTCTGAGATAGTAGCAGGAAGGACTACAGTTTTATGGTATATTTGCCACTTTTCTCCAAGCCAGTTCACACACCGATAGGGGGGAGGGCAGAGCTATCGCCCCTGACGCTCTACTTTGCCTCCTGCCTGGCCCAGGGGTTCTCAGCCTGCAGGCTTGACAACGAGAATAGTCAGCATTTACGAAGCACTTGACATGTTTCAGCACTTTGCATATATTGATTCATTTGATCCTCTATTCATTACCTTCTATCCATGTTCTAGTTTACAGACAGGAAAACTAAGGTGCGGGGAAGTTAGGTAACTGCTCAGCATCATACAGCGTCTAGGGCGGCGGGGAAATTGAGCCCAATCTGACCTCACAGCCCACACTCATCACCACCAGTACTACATGCCTCTCAGCGGGTGGCTGGATACGTGTAACTTCTTGCCTTACTAGATGGGCGCATTGGTAAGGAGGCTTCTGTTCCTAAATGTTTCTTTTTAAATTTAAATCATTCTTCAGTTACAGTTGACATACAATATTGTATTCGTTTCAGGTGGACACCCCAGTGATTAGACATTATGTAACTTACTAAGTGATCATCCTGATCATCGTACCCATCTGACATCATACAGAGTTATTAGAACATTATTGACTATATTCCCTATGCTGCGCTTTACATTCCTATGACTGTTCTGTAACAACCAGTCTGTGCTTCTTAATCCCTTCACATTTTCACCCATCCTCTCAACCTCCCCTCCCAGAAACAGAATATTTCTTGACTGAAAGATTGACCTGGAAAATCAGGCCTACCCAATAATGGTGAAAACTTTTAAATAGGGGCAATGAGACACTATATTTGTAACAGTTGTTGTAAGTGAAATTCCTGGCGAAGCTGCCCAGCTCCCCACTGAGGGATGAAATTGCTGACATGGAAGGGCCTCATGTGGGCTGTGCCCACACCTTGGATACTCTGACGTAACAAGTTTGAGGAGGGGCACAGGCATGTGGACTTTTAAACCACCATGGTGGTTCTGATCAAAAGAGCTGTTTCAAATCCTATTCAAACCTCTCATGAGGAAATTAAGACTCAAACAGGTTTAAAAACAAAACAAACAAAAAACACGTGGCCATGGTCATATACATAGTTAATGGCAAAGATAGGACTTTTTCTTGCTATTCTAGTGTTCAAACAAAATAGAAAATGCACTTGGTTTGTTGCCTTTCTTTGCATAAGTGTAAACCCGTTTTGACTGTTACCTTTTCTGAGACCTAAATTCTCTATTCTTGCAGTATCTCTCTCTCTCTTTCATCCCTACTTTCTCTTTTCCTTTCTCTCTATCTCACAATTTACTTTTTCTATTCTCTCTCACTCTCTTTTATTATTATTATTTTTTTTTTTTGCAGGCATTTACATTACATCTGGATGTACCATAATATATTAGATGCAACATGTCTAAAGTGAAGGATGTTGCACTCTCTTCACCAAAGCTGCTCTTTTTTTTTTTGAGGTTGTTATTTCTGTCGACAATTTCTCCAGGTCTGCAGACTCATTTTGAAGTTATCCTTGATTCTTCTGCTGTTTTTCCTCTGTAATGACGCTCCCATTTGTGTCTCTCTCTCCAATCCATCAACTCCTACTCCATTCCTTGTCATCTCCTACTCCATTCCTTGTCATCGCCACCACACACTGTCCCTGTCACAATGATTTTAATGAGAATAATTAACACTAGCTGTTGTAACAAGCAACACCTACATCTCAGTGATTTGACTAAATAAACTTTTATTTCCCACTCACATAAAGGCCAATACAGACAACTCCATGGTGGGCAGTTCTCCTCCAAATGGTGCCTTCTGGATCCCACCTCCTTCCTTAGGCAGCGTCCCCATCTTCAGTACGTAGCTTCACGGTGTTCTGACATCTTCAAAGTGGCAGATGGGAGTTCAGATAAACAGCATGAGAAGACACATCTCCTTTCAATTTCTTCGGGTTGAAAGTGACCACATCTGCTCATTATCCATTGGTAACGACCAGTCACATCACCAAATCTAGACCTGAGGGAAATAAAGCTTAGCTCTTTGCCAAGAAGACAAAGCCTGTCTGTGCCAAAAGACCGAAATCGTGCTTCCTGCTTCCAGGCTGTCCATTGTTTCATCCTCAACATCACTATTAATTCATGGTTTATAAGTACTCCTTTGCCTACATTGCTCTTATATTCAAAACTTTTTAAAATTCTCCAAAAACTCTAGGACAAAGTTGAAGACTCTTAGCTTGGTTTTTAACTCACTCTAGAGTCTTCTTCCAAACTAATTTTCCCAGTGATATGAGTGAGGAAATGTTTTTAATAATGGATAGGAGATGTGATCCTACAGGTAGAAAGAGGTTCACGTACTCAATTTTCACAAAAGACACTCAAATCATATAGAAAGGATTATACTTTTCCTGCCCTTTCCCTCTATATCCTAGACTCCCCATTTTTATCGTGTTATTTTCCTTTCATACCACCTCTATCCATTATGTCTTTCTTCCTTCTCTCCTTTATTTCCCTTCTTCCTTCTATTCTTAGTGACTTCCTACCTTAAGAAAATCATGGGGAAAATATTCTGAAAGAGACAGAAGGATGAACTAGACCCAATAAATCTCTGCTCTCAGAGTGTTTGCTATCATATAAAACAAATAACTATTAAAATAAAGTAAATGTTAAGTATCAGAGGAGAGGCAAGAGTAGAATGATATGATAATCCAAAGTACACATTGTATTGGCGGTATCTATTGATGAGAAGCAAAAATATATTTATATTCGTTATTTTCTGCATTGTATAAATAATCACTCCTTTCCTTTAGTGACTCTAAACTCACATATTAAGGCCCTAATATATTCCTCCTCAGCTCCCTCCTCTCCCAAAGATCCTCTTTTATATGGTGCAGTCAGCCTATGAATTCATTACCAAGTCATCCTTTCTGTCATAACCAAGAAGGGCTCAAAACTACTGTTAGGGGGCAAAAAATTCAATCTAAATGGCCCTGGGGTGAGGGTATGGTTATTTGGGAAAGCTAATGTAGATTCTACCATAGGAAAAATAATTTCAATTTTAAAGATACATATAAACAATGTCATGTAAAAGAAGCAAATAAGAAGAACACTGACAGAAAATAAAAGTAAACTTTGATCTGATTTGGGAAATGCAAAAGATCTTTTTCAAGCCTAAAAGTATTAGACTAAATCACAAGAGTAAAGATATATAAGCCTAACTACATAAAATGTCCAAGATAATTGTTTTTTAAAAGAAAAATTTAAAACTCAGGAAAATACTTTAACACATGTGAGAGACAGGTATTTATTAAAAATATTCAAAGGGTAATGTTTTCAATTCACAAAAAGTTTTTACAAATCCACAGAAAAATAACAAACAAATATGATTTTTAAAAAATGGACAAAGAACCCGGGTAGAGAAAGAGGAAGCACTAACTAGGGGTGGTGAAGATGAAGCTCCAGAAACATCCCGCCTGGACCTGAATTCTGACTTCTCTAAGTTCCCGTGTGAAAAAAAGGGATAGCAAAGTGCCCCCTCAAAGCATCCCTGTGAATGCTGAGGGCTCACACACATAAAATACTTACCACTGCCACTGAGTATGCACTCAACAAAATTTACCTAATAGTATTATTATTATTTTACTATAAATAATGCATCTGAACCTTATAAATTTAGAGAAATGCAAATTCAAGCAGCATTTTTAAATTAAATTTAAATGAACCTAAGATATCTGTTAAGCTCTTAATTATTTGAACTTAAGAAAACAGCCCTGGCCAGTTTGGCTCAGTGGTTGAGCATTGGCCTGCAGACCAGAGACTCCCGGGTTCAGGGTTCAGTTCCCGCTAGGAGCACATACCACAAAAAACAACAACAAACAAAACAACAACAACAACAAATTTTTCAATAAGCCATAGATTAAAGGGGAAGCCACAAGCAGTCAGAAAATATTTGTAATTAAATGGAATTAAAAATACAAAATATATCATGTCAGAATTTGTGTAAGGAAGCTTAAGCAGCGCTTAGAGAGGAATTTATAGCATCAAATACTATATTAGAACAAAGAAAGGTCTCAAATAAATGATCTAACTATTCTTCTTAAGAAACTTGAAAACAAATATCAAATTAAACCCAAAGCAAGCACAAAGCAACAAATAATAAAGAGTGGAAATCAGTGAAATTGAATATAGAAAAATAAGGGGAAAATCAATGAAAAAAACACTAATGATGTCTTTTAAATGATTAATCAAATTTATAAATCTCTAGCCAAACTGTTCAATGAAAAGAAGACATAAATTATTAATATCTCCAACAAAAAGGGTACATCACTACTGATATGACACCCATTAAAAGGATAATAAGAAAACATTATGACCAGTTTTATGTCCAAAAATTCAACAACCTAAATGAAATGAAATGAACAAAATTCTTGAATAAGAATCAGCCCAATTCAGCCTACATCTACCGAAATTCACTCAAGAAGAAATGAAGACATTGAGTGGCCCTATATCAATTAAAGAAACTGAATTTGTAGTTAAATCTTTTCCTGCAAAGAAAATTGCAGGCCCAGATGGCTTCACAGGCAAATTCTACCCAACATTTAAGGAAAAAATAATATCAATTTTACACAGATTTGACCAGAAAATAGGAGAAAAGCTAACACTCTCCAGCTCATTCTATGAAGCAAATATTATTCTGATATCAAAAATAGATATTATGAGAAAAGAAACCACAGACAATATCCCTCATGAATATAGATGGAAAAATCTTCAAAAATATTAGCATATTAAATACAGATAGAGTGAGAGGGAGAGAGAAAGAGAGAGAAGCATCAATGTGACAGAGAAATATCGACTGGTTGCCTCCCTCATGACCCAACCAGGGCCAGGGATGAACTGCAACCAAGGTACTTGCCTTTGAAAGGAATTGAACCCATGCTACTTTGGTCCACAGACCAATGCTCTAACCACTTAGCGAAACCAATCAGGGCTCATAATAACAGCTCTTAACAAACTATCTATAAAAAGGAATTTCTTCATCCTGATAAAGGTCATCTATACAAAACTCTCAGCTAACATTATAATTAAAAATCAATAAAATAAAAATTAATAAGTTGGACTGCAATAAAATTTAAATGTTTCTGCTCTTCCAAAAACACTCTTAAGAACATGAAAATAAAAGCCACAGACTGGGAGAAAATATCTGCAAAAACATTTGATAAAATTTTATATCTAAAATACATCAAGAACTTTCAAATTAATAAAAAAAAACATACATTTCATAGTTAAAACTAAGCAAAATATTTGAAAAGATAGTTCACTAAAAAATATGGACAGATGGAAAGAAAGTATGTAAAAAGATGCTCAGCCTCACTGGTTCTTAGGGAAATCACTACACACGCATTAGAATGGCTAAGAAAAAAAAACAAGCAAAACTGAAAATCCCAAATTTTGTCAAAGATGTGGAGCAACTGGAACAATCATACATTGCTGGTAGGAATTCAAGGTGCTACAACCACTTTGTAAAACTGTTTGGCACTTTTCTCATAAAGTTAGTTGTAATTTTCATATGACCCAGAAATCCCACTCCTAGGGAAATAAAAATAAAAGTGCACATTAGAACCTGTACGTGAATATTTATAGTGGCTTTATTTGTAATCACCAAAAGCAGGAAACAAACACAAATGCCTTTCAACTGGTGATTAACTAGATAAACTGTGATACATTTATACAATGAAATACCACTTAGCAAGAAGAAAGGACCGACACAGATCAATCTCAAATGCATTACACTAAGTGAAACCAGCCAGAAACAAAAGACTACCTGCTATATGATTCCATAACATGACATTTGGAAATATAAAACTAAAAGGACAAAAAATAGATAAGTAGTTGGCAAGGTCTGGAGATGAGGGGTAGGGTTGCCTATAATATAAATATAAATATAAAGACATTAAATATAAAGGTGTGAAGAAAGATATGTCGTCTAGCACTAGTTTTTTTTAAAAAGCTGAAGTACCAATATTAAATTCAGGCAAAGCAGACTTTAGAACAAGAAAAATTATCAGGATAAAGACAGGCATCACATCATGATAAAGGAAGGAGTCAATTATCCAGGAGATATAACAATCCTTAACATACATCATCTAACAATAGAGCATCATAAAACATGAGGCAAAAACTAATAGAACTACAGTGAGAAATAGAGAAACATAATATTCTGACTGGAAACTTCAATACCCCTGTCCAGGAATTGATAGGTCAAGTAAACATAAAATCAGTAAGAATATAGTTGAACTGAACAGCACCATCAATCAACTGGATCTAACAGACACATCAAATACTTCATTCAGCAACAGCAGAACATGGAACAAACTCCTGCGGAACACTGACCAGGACAGATCACATTCTGGGCCATAAAACACATCTTAACAATTTAAAAGACTAGAAATCCCAGTAAGTTCTTAGCCCACAATGGAATTAAATTAAAAATCACTGGAAAATTCCAAAATATTTGGAGATAAAATAATACAAGAAGTCTCAAAAGAAATGAGAAGGAACTACACTAAAAAGTTCACAGTGATTTTTTTTTTCCATAGAATAATGTGTCAATTGTTTTTTAATCCTCACTTGAGGATATATTTATTGATTTTTCAAGAGAAAAGAAGGGAGGGGGAGAGAAAGAGAAACATCGATTGGTTGCCTCCCATACACACCCCAACAAGGGATTGAACCCAACAACTTTTGGTGTACTTGGGACGATGCTCCAACCAACTGAACCACCAGGCAAGGGCACAGTCATTTTTCTTGAAAATTTTTAAGTTTTCTACAATTTTCTATGAGCTGCTTTTCTGGTCAGCAAAATATTTTAAGTTATTTTCAAAAAGAAATATTTAAAAAGTAGAATTTCCTGGCTCTGGTGACCCATTGTGTAAGGGAGGGGAAGGAATGAAGAATCAGAGTTGAGGATAGCTGAGACGCCTATTTTAATTGACTAGTTCTTAAATATGCCACTGAACTAAATAAAAATTATAGAAAACCTCATATTGGAGTCTGACAAAAATGGTTTGGTGTGAACTCTATTTGATTCTGAAACGTGATTATTAAATGCATCTAATATATGCAGTTGTAAAGCAAAGTCTGAAACTTGGGAGGGTTTGATCTGTCTTTCCATCGTGTAAGGTGGCTCAAGTATTCAGAACAGAGATGTTCCAGGAATGATGAGCAGGGAGATGGAGGAAGAGAACCAAGGATAAAATTCAATACCAGCATTGAAGGGACAGATGGCAGGAGAGAGCCAAGCAACTCTTCAGGTGGTAGAAGGATCAGCTGAAATAAAAATGTGTGTCACAGAAGTTAAGAAAGGAGACAATTTTAAAAAAGAAGAGACTACCAGTATCAAATAGTACAAAGTCAAGTCACAGGAGTACTGACAAGATAGCAGCATATCAGAGACTGCAGGGTTAGGCTCCTTTGCCTTTGAGTCCCAGCACCGCCTGTTATTCTTGGACATGAAGCCAAACTGCAGTGAGCTGAGCTATGACTGGGAGGTGAAGACGTAGAATCAGGAAATCTACATAATTCTTCTGAGATGTAAAGAGAAGGGGAAATATAAGCTCTCTGTATGAAAAAAAAAAAGTAGAATTAACGGGAGGTTTTTATGTTTGTTTTGTTTTAGTGTTGGGAAGATTTGAACCAAACAAACCAAAAGAAGTAGCAAACCAACAGGAAGATATTGAAGTTGGAGGAAAGGACAGCCATCCGACAGAGGAAGATGAGCTCAGAGGCAGAGACGTTGGTTTGGGAGACTGTTAAGAGCACCTTCCTCCAAGAAGAGAGGGGATGGAGAATGGGTGAAGATGGAGATTGGGAGATGATGGAAACCTGATACCTTCTATTTTCTTGGTGTAGTGGGCAATTAGGTGAAGGGTAGGGCAGACATGAAGGACTTGGATAGACTGGCAAACATTTGGAACAGTGGCCAAAAGGAAGAGGGGAGAACCCCGCTACAGATAAGGAAAGCTGAATTTCACTGATACTATTGCAGGTCCAAGGAGGATTATATTTTAGTTTAAATTCTTTTCTTTTTTTACCTCCCATTCAGTAATTGAGAGAAAATTGTATAGCCTCTTCTAGATTAGGGGAAAGTGGCCAAAATTAATAGAATCTATTATGTCCCTGCATTTCAGTTGAGATCATCCTTGATTGAACCCTAATCAGTAACTATGGTAGACACAAGGAATATGAATTCTGTCCCAAAAGACTCATAAGCATAACAGATATACAAGGTTTCTATCTATTTTAAGATGGGTCATAACATTTTAAACAATAAATTGAGTCTACATTTCTTAAATATACATACTTGTTCAGATATCTCCTTTTATATGTGCCTTATATTCCTTTACAAAGAGATCAAATCAAATTTAAAGTGTCAATTACAGCCTGGCCGGTGTGGCTCAGTGGTTGAGTGTCAACCCATGCATAAAGAGGTTGCCAGTTCGATTCCTGGTCAGGGCACATGCCCAGGTTGTGGGCCCAATCCCCAGTGGGGGGCATGCAGGAGGCGGCCAATTGATATTCTCTCTCATTGATGTTTCCATCTCTCTCTCCTTCTCCCTTCCTCTCCCTTCCTCTCTGCCTAAAATCAATAAAGAAAAAAAATTAAAGGTGTGTCAATTAAAACAAAAAACAAGTGATTGATTTTCTAGAGGAACACCTATGGCCACCAACTAAAATATTAATTTACTGGGAGGAGTTCAAGGGTGTTGGAACACAGGTGTGAGAAGGAGACACGCAGGGCTACACCTGAGCCTAACAACCAGGGAGAAAGGGAAGTGTTAAGTAGCTATTGGTGAGGATTAAATTCATATAATATCTCAAGCAAATTGTAGTTCCTTGAAAAATGAAATAATTCTGACTCAATTTTGTCTCTACCTCATTGTAATAAACTGAGATATTTCAGAACCATAAAGGTGAATCTGAGAGCGTTAAGAATCTGAGAGTCATAAGCTGGTCTCCTCACAGCCCCTGGACTTCAAGTTCACACCACCTGTCCTCACCCTGTGACTCAGCATGCAGGTGTATGTGTTACACATTGACCCTTCCTGCACCTGCACACAGGCCCCACCAGTGGAGGTAGAGGGTCTGGCCTGGAAGGTGGAGAGAGACAGGAGGTAGGATCACACATAAGCCACGGCTCCACGCCCCCAGTGCATGCTCCATTGTCTCATCAGACTTCATTTACAAAACACAGACTCAAAAACAAAAGTATTAAGAACTTCAAGATGGCACCAGCAAAGCATTAAGCTCAAGTATGGGGCTCTCTTCTGAGCACAAGCCCTGAGCAGCTACACGTTGGTGAAGCCAGCCCTGTCTCTCACGTAGATTTCAGGATCTTGGAGCATGAGCTCTGGTTGTTTTACATTTTGGACTCTTCTGCAGCACTTGGGCTTAGCTGGGGCACTGCATTTGCTGGAGCATGGTGACTTGCTGTTAACTGAAAAGTAAACCTGGAAGCTCAGAATTTCCTGGGGCCCCTCTGACAATCCAATATCCTCATCAGAGTATTCTGCCTTTTTTAGGCTGACTCCATGGTTGAAGAAACACACCTTAAGCGTGAGTGCTTTTACGCCATTTTCTCTAACCTGCTTCACGATGAACACTGAACAAGGAATAAGTACTCTTATTTCTTAATTAGCTAGGAGATCATTATAAAGCAACATGCTACTATCCCTTTGTGATTCTGTTCCTCATATGGGTATATTTTCTCCAAATCCTTTTCAGAATGAAAGTACTCAGCCAGGCTGGATCGTTCAACATTCTTTCTATCTCCACTTTCGTGTGGTTTATATAAATGAAGTCATCACTCAGGAGACCTTCTTGTAGCAAGATTTTTACAGTTTGGTTGCCTCGGGGTGGGGCTGGGGGATCCAAAAGGTTTGGCCAGTGCAGGTGGACAAACATACAAGCAGGAACAGAACGGCAGCGTGGTCTGTATCTTGGACAGCAGTGGTCCCAGAGGCAACTACAAGAGAGGGCTCGGGGGTGCCGCAGGGAGGAGCTTCCCCCACTTGGCTGTCACTTGAGAAGAATTTCTCTGCTATGCAAAACAACTATGTAATAAGCATGGATTGCCTGGAATTAAGAGCTCTCTAGCAATAGTTTTTAAAATGTTAATTCACATGTTCCTATGGCTATTTTTCTTGGATGTCGCTCCTGGCCACAAACGCACAGGGCAGATCCGATGCGAGGACCAGCCCCGGGGGCTGAGGCAGTGGTATACTTGTAGCAGATCTGCCCGCAACTGGAATCTGAGCTGCAGGCTGGTAAACCAAGACCGCGGGCAAGGACAAAAGGTTCCCCTGTGGTGACAAGGTATGTTCAGACCTGACAATGAATCACAAGACTTGAGAGCAACCCGAGGCTCTTCAAACTGGTGTGCAGGATGCTCAGGAAAACAGTAACGAGAGCAAAGAGACAGAGAATCTCTGCCGGAAGGGGTTTCTGCACTCAAGGAAATAAATTCAAGTGTGAGGTCAGACAGGCTAAAGGCCAGCTGAGTCCTGACTATCAGAAACAGGCAAGAATTAAAGGGAAGATGAGATGACCGAGGGCTTTGGGGGTGACTGCAAAGCCAGCCCATTAACATGCCTGTACAGAAGGTGGGATCTTGAATACGAGTATTTAAAGATGAAACACTGCCCTGCAAGGAGACATTCCCTTCCACTCAGAGAAAAGCCTGATTTCCGTGGGAGAGCGCTAAGGGCCCTCCAGATCTCCAGTGCAGGGTTTTAGACACGGACTGTATTCCTTTTGTCCCGCACAAAGGGAGTTCCCACCCAGTTCGACATCACAGGGCGTGGGGGACGTGAAGCCCTGGGTGTGTGCCCCGTGAGATAAAATGACGATAGGCGCCTGGTTCTTGGCGTGGCCCCACCTCATGCTCTGCGGGCAGGGCAGGCCCTGTTTACTCGGGAGCTGGTTCACCCCACACTGAGCATCAGGCACTGGGGCCACACCATCTCCTGGGACTCCCTTGATGCATCACTGTAGCCAGTGTAGCTCAGCACCTCTCCTGCTGGCTGCAGAACTCAGAAATACATGAATGTAATGCATTTTTTATTCTCTAGTTTAAATATCTCTTTATGCAATTAAACTTTTTAAAACTATGCCTATTGAGCATCATATAAGTGCCAACATATTCTAGGTTCCATGGAGGTGACAATAGACAAATATGACTATGTTCTGCCTTTTTCCTATGGGACAAGAATCACACAAAACATAGCTCTCAGCATGAGAGGGACACGGGACTTGCTCATGCTTCCTTAAGACGTGTGGCCTTGGGTGAGAGACAAGGGTTGAGGTAACAGTTGAACACCCCACCCACCCACCCACACTCTCAAACACGCATTCATACACATGCCACACAAAGTACAGAAGAGGGTCATCTTGTTTTGAAGCCACTAAAATAACAATATTGTATACAGAAGGGTTTTTTTTCTCTTTGTCCCATAAGAAACCTAAAACCTAGCAGGCAAAAAAAAACTCTGAAAGAAGGACCCAGAACAGAAATCTAGGTCACCTGGCTTCTAGTTCCACTCAGTCGCTCCCCAAATGGATTTTCAAATCCAGGATGCAGCCTCCAAGGTAGCATGTGTCTCCCAGGGATGTTAGTATGTGCTAGAAAGAATGAATTAATGAATTAATAAAGGGAAAACAACTGAAACCTGGGATCACTGGAGTTGAAGATCTGGATGAGACAGCATGCCATAGATCCCCCCCTACAGATGTCTCGGTGCCTGTGGTGTAGGAATGTGCATTGGCGTCTCTAAGGGAGGGGTTATTGGATCCTGCTTGCTCTCTCTCTCTCTCTCTTTCTCTCTCTCTCTCTCTCTCTCTCTATTTGTCATGGAGCATTTCACAGGCCCACTGAGAAAATGTCAGCCTCAGGTCCTTGGTAAGGTATGACCTGCACGAAGTGCCCGAGACACTGCACTGTGTACTAAAACTACCACCCGCAGGTGGCTGGAAAGGGAGCATGCTGTCCCCTCCGACTCTGCAGGGAAGCGTCGGTTCCCAAAGCAGATGAAAACGTCTTCACACATGTCTGTCTCCCACCCTAGGTCATTGATCTTTTGCAGCTAAAGAGTGAATTTGAAAGAAATTTGTGGTCACATTAAAAACAACAACGAAATCTTACCACCACCCATACCAACATTTTGAAAGAGATGTTGGTAGTGAATCAAGCTTGATAACCATGGGCTATGATTTTAATCCACGCATAAAAGGAAAATCACGGGCTCAAGAAGGTTTTCAAAGGGAAAATGTATAGATCAGTGATTCATGAAAATACAGTTTTTCTCTTCAGCAATTTGGTTTAGTAGCTTAAATGTGTGGTGGGGTTGGGGATCAAACAAATGCACCTCCTGAGCGTTTATGTGTTTGCCCATGACAGTTTCTACTCTGCTTCTGATGGAAACATTTTTAAATTATTTTAACATGATTTCTGAAAAGGAAATGATCAAGAAGTAAATAAAGGGACAGAGTTATTTTTATAGCTCCAGGAAAAAGAAGGTTCCCGTAGGACAGCGGTTCTCAGCCTGTGGGTCGTGACCCTTTTGCCTAAGACATAACGTAGCAACATTACAGTTATGAAGTAGCAACAGAAATAACTTTATGGTTGGGGGTCACCAGAACATGAGGAACTGTATTAAAGGGTCGTGGCATTAGGAAGGTTGAGAACCACTGCGTAGGACATGAAGAGGATGTGCTAGGAGCAGAGGTATCGAGCTGGGCCTTGAGAAATGAAGAACAGTGTCCTAAGTACAGGAAGGCAACAGGTTGGCACTCCAGGGTCAGAGAACAGCGTGTGTGAAGGCACCGGGCCTGCAACATCCCAAATATCCCAGGAATCGTGGGAATTCTGGTGTAGCTAGAGGGTCAGTACATGGCGGAGACTGACAGCTACAGCTTGGGAGGCTTTGGGAACCTTATTATAGAGGACCCTGGATGCCTTTCCGATGAGTCTGAAGTTCCTCTCATAGGCTGCCAGTGGAAGATGCTAAGCATGGTAGCCATGCACTGACTTATAAAAGATGGTGACCGAGGGATCAGTTACAAAACTGTTGTAAAGTCTAGGTGAGAGAAGCTATTGGCAAGGACAGAGCTAAGAGGAATTTCTTTCTTTCTGTTGATGTCTGATCTTACTTATTGTTCCCGGCAGAAAATCTCATTTTTGATTGGACTCGGACTTAGAGGTAGGAGCCCTCAGAGAGGACAGCCTATGTCTCCTGGCCGGCTGTCCCTGGAGGTTTTCTCTTCTTTGTTTAATTCTTACCCAAGGATATGTGTATTGATTTGAGAGAGAGAGAGAGAGAGAGAGAGAGAGAGAAACATCGATGTGAAACATCAGTGGGTTGCATCCCATACGTGCCCTGATTGGGAATTGAACCCACAACCTTTTGGTGCATGAGACAATGCCCCAACCACTGAGCCACCAGACCTGGGCTGTCCCTGGCATTTTACTTTGGCCCCCTTTATTCTCTTAGCTGAAGTTTAGCATATTCTGTGGCCTCTTCCTTATTTTATTTTATTTTTTTAGTACACTGTTTCTTCAGATCAATACGCCAACATTTGTGTTGCAAAATGCATGGAGTGACAAGATGCTGAATCTTGGGTGCTTTGGTACCAGGTTTCTTACCTTCTTTGTTTAGGGGCTTTCTCACGAAGTATGGGCAGACATCATCTTCTTCGGAAAGATTGAAAAGTGTGTGGATTCTGCTAGTTCTTTGGGCCCTAAGCAACGAGGCATAGTAGTATCAGTGAGACCAGGAATATATTTTGCCCCCTTTTCTATAATGACTAAGTTGAGAACACTGAGATTGGCATCCACAACTCAACCCCGAACAGGTTTGTGCTTCTCTCTCCAGTCCTCCTTGGTCTACAACGGGAATGCCCCTTCCTCAGCAGTAGGCTGACACGGCCATGGGTCATGACCCCCTGTTTCATGGGAAACATCTGTCATGATCACCACTGATTCGAACCACATAACCCTTCCATTCTTCACCCAGAGTGTTGGCAGCAACTTCTGTGGCGATACACTTCTCATAAAAGGTACAAAGTTAGCGTTCATTGTCTATTTCAATGAGTCTCTGGTAGGCAGTGGCTAGGAAAGAGATGTTCAGCTTCATCCTGGAGCAACCAACCACCTCCAAGGAGCCATGAAAAAGAGCAAGAATCATTTCTAAGATGAAATGACAAGGTTGGGTAACTGGATATGATGGTCAGAAGAATGGGCTGAAGACAGCCCCCAGGTTGTCCAACCAGATGAATGGTACCATCACAGAGAGAACTCAGGGCTGCAGAAAGGGGAATAGTTTTGGTGGGAAGAGCTAACAGAACATGTTTAGCCTAAGCAAAATCCATTAAAAGGGCTCAGGTAAATGTAAGAAGATGAAGTCATTTCCACATTCTTACATGATATCTGGAAGGCCCAGTGTGCTCACAGTTTCTCATCTGTGGTTTTGTTTGATTTTAGGGACTATTCCTTTTCTGAATCTGAGTAATACCAATACATTAAATACCCACACCCACACTTCACTTGGACCAAAAGTTATCATAAGTCATATTGAGTTTGCTGTGATATCTTCAACTTCAACAAATGATGAGTCAGATTAGCTCCAGGTTGAAGTGCCTTGCTAACCAGGTAGATATTCCAAAGGCTTCTTGGTACACTAGATTATAACATAGACATGGGAAATGAAGGAAGATAAGTCTTTGACTCCACCTGGTCACACCCAGTTTGAGTAAAGCCAGTCAAGTACAAATATGAGAAGGCTTCTTGTCTGAGTCCATGCCCGACTGTCTTCTCTACTCCACTGCTTTGGTGAAGGCAAGATGAAGCTCACAGTGAGTAGAATTTTCCTTCTGAATGTATTACCTTATAATAGCAGACTGTGGACATTCTGAGCTAAGGGTGTCTGCTTCTTATGACAATATCACCATAATGGAAAATTTTGTTTTAAAAATACCTCACTTTTACTTTCATGGTATTGTGACATTTATAAGCATCTCTATAGAGAAGGATAACTATACTGAGATTATCTGTCTGAGCATCTTACACCATGCTATCTTTAATGAAATTACTTTTAAGATCTCCTGATTTAAGTCTGGGCAGAGAGGATGCCGTCCCTAATTCCTAGAAAATGTCTGATCTTTCTTCACATTCTTAAATTCCTCTTTTACGCAAACTCCTAAGTATATTCAGGCAAGATAAAAAGCATCTTATCCAAACAAATGAGTAAGAGACTAACTGTCACTTTCTCTGCTATCAAACGGATCTCTAAGTAAGAACGGTTTGCCCTGGACCCTGTCCATAGTCATTTATTCATAAAAACACATGAAGCATGAACTAGTGCAGCATCTCACCTGTGGTTCCAGATAAAAGGCTAAGAGTACAGCAGGTGGCCACAAAATTCTGCCAAATAACTGGGGGTATCATGTGTCTCTCATAACAGCATGCACAGGGCTAGAATCAGCTGAGTATCTTCATGTTTCAACAGTAGACTCTGCTTCATAATGGAGTATAAAATCATTATCTAGAAACAAGTTCCAAAACAACAAAGTTAAATAAAAGGGCGGGGGGGCAGATCTGTATCTCTCCTAGTTTTTCCATGACAAGAGGTACAACCGTGGCCAATACAAACTTAAGTGACTTCTGAAGCTCAATTTTCTCATCTGTGAAAAGACTGCATTGTATTATAGTAGTCATCTCTAAAATTTCTTTCATCTCTTGACACTTTTTTTTTTGAGACTAATTTTACTTCCTTTATAAACTATCAAGTGAAAAATTAAGCAAATAAAGAAATGACCTTGAATTACCAGTGCAGTTCTCAAACCATTTGGTCCCAGATAAAGGAAAGAGAACAGGTACTCAGAATGGGACACTCTGCATAAAGCTCTGTGTTTTGATAAGCAGTATCACGTACCCAGTGACAAATGACTAACACAGATACCCTCACACAGTTACTGATTTCCCTTCTGCTAACCGCACTTGACAACCAGGCACTCCATCCTTTGCCTCTCAGCACCATTATTCAACTTGTTTGTTAATCTGTTGCTTTTAAAAAGTAAAAAGACGATTTCTGCTATTGGGAGAGCTAGGGGGGGAGGGAAGCATTTGTATCAAATTGGAAAATTAACTTAATCATTTTCAGATGTGATTCTCAGAACATATAACCATGTTCATAGCATGTATGCTATTCATCTTCAAATTTATTTTTTAATACACTAACAGTATTATTTTTCACAAGATCTACATTAAAATTCTAAAACTATATATCACAATAACATAATTACTATAAGTAATTAACCTACAATTCTACATCATCATTAAAATTTTCTGTGGTTAAAAATATACAGGGTCAAAGAAGAACAGAGAGACCACTCAACCCAATAGTAAAATTAGCAAATATTTCTAGAAGTTTGGATAGAAAAAGAAAGAAGGAGACGTTGTTTTGCCATGTGACCAGGGTCTAATGTTATTTGTGATTTCAGATTTTCTTTGCTGGACTTCTTGGTGTCCTCCTGACTCCTACTCTGACTGCCTATGTAAGTCTCACTTTTAAAAGTGTGTTACCAAAATGTATCTGCAAAGAACTGTGGTACTTAAATCATTATCAATTTTGTTTACATTTTAGAATATCGACATCAGCAACAATGGCAACAGTGGCGGCAGCGGGCAGCAGTCAGTGAGCGTCAACAACGAGCACAACATAGCCAATGTGGACAATAATGACGGATGGAACTCCTGGAATGCGCTCTGGGATTACAACACTGTAGGTATCCAACATGCAATATCCACTCTTTACAAATATGAGGCTTCTTTTGTCATTAAATAAAAGTCCCTGCGAACCATAAAAAATTAAAAGCAAATTCTCACTGCACATAAGCATAATTATAAGTAAAAGTGCCTATTTTGCTCACCCAGTTTCATCCCCTAGATATAACTGCTGTTAATAAGTTTCCCACAATCAGTTTAAATTCAATGAACAGCTACTAGAATCCACTATGTTCAGGAGATTGATGGGGCTATAAGACAAAGACGAGCATCCTTTTGCTTTGCCTGCAGATACCCTCAGTAATGATCAAAGACCATCACAATATTACTGCTGCCAAAGCATAGTCTATCTCATTCTACCTTCGATTTCCTTCTAAAAAAGATGGAAACTGACATTTCACGTGTAATTCAAAAGGACCAAAGGAAATTCAAACGATAATATTAATTGGTAAGGGGAACAAAAAACATCTGGCTCTGGTTAGAAGACCCAACTGTGCAGTTACCAGCTCTGTATTTAACAAATTCTTTTTTTTTTTTAATTTAACTTATTTATTTTTATTACAGATGTTTCTCCTTTTCCCCCATTGACACTCTCCTCTCGTTCCTGCCCCCACCCCAGTATTGTTGTCTATGTCTATTGGTTATGCTTATATGCGTAAGCTCTTTGGTTTATCTCTTCCCTCCCCCCACACATTCCCTTCTCTAAGGTTTGTTAGTCTGAACCCTACTTCTATGTCTCTGGAGTATTTTGTTCATCACCTTATTTTGTTCATTATATTCCACAAATAAGTGAGATCATATGATACTTGTCTTTCTCTGACTGGCTTATTTGCTTAGCATAATACTATCCAGGTCCTTACATGTTGTCTTAAAGGATAAGAGATCTTTTTTTCCTATAGCTGTATAGTATTCTATTGTGTATATATACCACAGCTTTTTTTGCCTTTTTTTTTTTAATCCTCACCCAAGGACATTTTTTTTCTTTGCATTTATCTTCAGATAGAGTGGGAGAGAGAGAGGGGGGAAGAGAGAGAGAGAGAGATCAATGTGAGAGAGACACATTGACAGGCTACCACCCACACAACCCCAACCGGGGCCGGGAACAAACTGCAACCGAGGTACATGCCCTTAAGGGGAACTGAACCCAGGTCTCTCTGGTCCGCGGCTAACACTCTAACCACTGAGCAAAACTGGCCAGGGCTACCACAACTTCTTTATCCACTCGTCTATTGATGGACACTTGGGCTGTTTCCAGATCTTAGCAATTGTAAATAGTGCTGCTATGAACATGGGGGTACATATATTCTTTCTGATTGGTGTTTCAGGCTTTTTAAGATATATTCCTAGAAGTGGGATTACTAACTCTTTACTTTTAAAAAAATCAACTCTTTATTGTTTTAGTTTTTTATGATCTGGTCAATTAGAAAACTAATTCCTGTCTTACCTGCCCCCTTGAAATGTAAAGATCAAGGAGATTAAAATTGTGATAGTATTTCAAAGTTTATTTCTGCAAAATAGACATATGTAATGACTCTTTCCATGCTAGGGTCTGAAGATAAAGCAACAAGTTACTCAGTCTCTGCCCCTTCAAAGATATAATGGTTTATTCTGAGAAATGTTAGCAATAAATATGATTGTAAAACAGGGCCAGGTCCTGCATCGTGATCTCAGAGTTCCACTTCCCTCTGCTAGTGAAACTGACTTCTGATTAGAAAAGCTGCTTGGAGAACATACTCCTCATTATCTGCCACCTTCCTAACAGGGTTTTGCTGCAGTAAGAGTCTTTCGCAAGAAGGCCTGCATTGTGCACAAAATGAACAAGGATGCCATGCCCTCTCTTCAAGCCCTTGATACAATGGTCAAGGAGAAGAAGGTAAAAATAAAAGTCTTATTATATTTGATCTCCAGAATAATGAGGTCGCAATCATTCCCTCTTGATCACGGTAGAGTACAACAGAAAAAGGAAGTGAAATTGGTAAGTGCCTGAGGAGAAGTAGCTGCCACCACACTCAAATACTAGGTTCACACCTGTCCCTACAGAAGCCCTCAGCACATCTCCAAAGACATTTTTTCTCCAAGAATTGAGTTAAGGATATTAGATTTAGAGGCGGAGGGGGAGAGTATACATAGTTAAGTTTGAATTTTATTATATTTTTTTATTTTTTATTTTTTTTATCCTCACCCGAGGACACTCTTTTGATATTTTGTTCAGATAGAGTGGGAGGGAGAGAGAGAGAGAGAAACATCGATGTGAAAGGGACACATCGAGTGGTCGCCACCCACATGACCCAACCGGGGCAGGGAACAAACTGCAACCAAGGTACATGCCCCTAGAGGGAACCGAACCCGGGTCTCTCCAGACCTCAGGCCAACGCTCTAAGCGCTGAGCCAAACCGGCCAGGGCATAGTTAAGTTTGAATTTTAGATAAGCAATGGAAAATTTTTTAGAATAAGTATGTCCTATGCAATATTTGGGATATACTTATACTAAAAAATGAGTTGTTGTTTATCTGAAACTCAAGTTCAGCTCGATGTCCTGTATTTTATCTGGAAACCCCAGATGGAATGAGTGGAGAGAAGGGATCCATTGTTCGTGAAAATGTTTGCCTGAGTTTATATTCTTATGACTGACAAATGGGTAGAGATAAGGTAGAGAAAATAAATTAACTGCATTCTCAGAGGCTGGTTATCATATAGCTCAATCCCAGAATTAGAAGATGACCAAATGAGGCTCCAACTTCAGAATAAATTTAGCCTCAGACTTTGGTTTATACGAGAAGCTGAGATTTTAAGCCAGCTAAATGCCTTGGAACATTTAGAAATTCTGAGACGTGCATGGTTGCAATTGGTTCTTCTTCATTTTGATTGTGGAAAAATCAGAGCCAAAGAATTCTGCCTGTTGGTCTTGTACACAACACTCAGTACAACAAACCACTGGGCTTACCATTCATTCTCCCTCTTTTTTTCCCCCTGTCTTCTCCATACTCAGCTTCAGGGTGAAGGACCAGAGGGACCACCTCCCAAAGGCCTGACATACTCAGTCAACCCTGACAAAGTCAACGACCTGGACAAGTTTGGAAAATCCATTGTTGGCATGTGCAAGGGGGTTCCAACATACATGGCTGAAGAAATTCAAGGTGAGTAGCCTCTCTACTGTGCACTCCAAATTAGTGCATTTGTCAGACTATTCTCAGGTGTGTCCACAGAGAACACCAACTACTCGGAGATGTCAAGTCTAAAACTTACATAGTGCTTGCGCCCTGCCATGCACTATTCTACATGATTTAAGTATGTTAACTCATTTGTTCCTGGATGAGGAAACTGATGCACAAAGAGAGGTCACAAAATTCTTGCTGAAATGCTAAGTATTTCAGCTCTGGGTTCTATGCTTTTACGCATTCTGAAATAATGCTTTTCAAGGTGAATTTGGAGAACACTCAAGACATAGTCAAAGAAATACTTGAGTTGCTAAATGGAAGGACAATACCAGTAGAATCTATTGACTTTTTATAGCTCAAATGATCACTTAATTTCTGGGCATTCAAAGAATAATTTACAGAAAAACAAAGTATCCACCTAGGCACCTAACCTAATAGCAATTTTTCAGATATTTGAATCAGCTGATTTAATGTTTATAGCTTGCTAGCTAGATCTTAAAATTGTTGCAGAGCTTGTTCGGAAATCGTGTGACATTCCCTTCTCCCCACCCCTACCCACATCCCCACACCCCCACAAAAGTCCTTGAAAAGACATTGACATTGTTTTTTTCTTTTCTTTTCTTTTTATCAGGGGCAAGCCTATTTTTTTCTGCAGGACCATGCTTCAGTGCTAATATACTCTATATTGTGAACATTGCCCTCTGTGGAAGTATAGTGGAATACTAAAGAAAAAGTTGCTGTGGGTTTAGTCATCACAGTATTCTATGCAGAAAAATGTGGGTTCTAATGGTTTTTAATCATATCATTCATAACTGTTCTCTCCAAGCTCTGTTTAGTTTCTTTAAGTTTCAATAAAACTATTTAATACTGAATTAAATTTAACCTAAAATTTCTTATGATTCCTGTTTAATCAAAAGTGCAGTGTTGTGGTGGTGAGTTGTCAAAAGTGTGTTAGACCCAACTATTAGCTTATATTCAGGAACCGTCCCGTATAAAGAACCCCTTCAAATGCTTCACATACTACTAACCACAGCTCTGGGGATGGTTCCAAGACCATCTGACTGCTCTGTAGTTGATGTGCACAGTAACATTTCAGATCATCAAGGACAGAAATTCACTCAGAGGAGCTTAAGCCAGAAAAAGGGCAGTTATTGCAAGGATATTAGGGTATCTACAATAATCAGAGGATAAGAAAAGCAGCTTATATCAAAGAAACTGGAGCTGAGAACTTTATTGACACCACGACCCAAGTCTCCTTCTCTCTTCCTGAAGCCATGTGTTAGCTCTTTTCTGCTCCTCTCTAAATTCTGCTTTCCTCTTCTTTCCATCATGTAGATGGCTTTTTCTGTACTCGTGACAGAAGATGGCTGAACCAAATTGTTAGCCTGATTTCCCATGTTTACATGTCTATCCAGCACAAGAGGGATTCTAATACTTTTGAATTCAAATTCCAATTTTCCTGGACCCTGTTTGGTTTAAGAGTCCATGACCTCCACACTTTGATGGTCAGGGAAGTGAAATCACATGGTCCCACATACAGCACGGGGGTCTTCAGTGAAAGAGAAAGATCGCAGAGAAAATAGAGACTCCAAATATTATGTATTTTCTATTTGTTTGTTTTTCTTTATTTAAACCATTTTTATTTTTTAATTGATGTACAAAATTATATTAATTTCAGGTGTACATGCCAGTGATTAGTACAATAAGAAACTACAGTTCATTTTTTAAAATTGCTCCCATACATTTTCTTTAAATCCTGGGTGTCATAAAAGGCTATCTAATCTATTTCCTACCAAAAGGAGACACTGATTTCTACCATTTGAAAGACTGCCAATATTTACCATCCTAATTGAGAGAAAATTACAATAATTTTCTTTAGCCTAAGGCGATTTCATTGCTGTTCACATAAAGTGTACTACCAGTGTAGTAGAACTTCTAAAATATCCCAAAGTTATGAAATGGGGAACTTTTTCAAAGACCCATCAAAGATCAAGGTCTTAGATACTGCCCTACTGTGAGTGAGAAAGAATGAAAACTGACTCACAAACAAGATGCAATGTCACGTGGCTGACTTTGGGAACTGGTGAATTCCATGTTTCATGGAAGAATTATCTAGTCCCTATTTCAGAATAAGAAATTAAATTCGCTGGGTAAATATAAAAATTCTAGATCATGCACATCTATTAAAATGTATCAAGGAAAAATAAGAATTTCAGGAGAATTTAACAATCTCACTAAACTAAAGGTTTTTTAACATATCTTTCAATAACTTGTAGATAAAGCAGTTAAGGAGACAAAAAATTTTAATACAATTAACAAGCTTATTTTAATAAAGATATATATATAACTGCAGAATACATATTCTTCTTAGGCATATATGGGATATATACAAATATTGATCACATGCTGAGGAATAAATCAGATCTCAAAAAATTTCAAATGATTGATATAAAAAACACATTTTTCTGGCTTCAATTTAAAATAGAATAAATATTTCCCTCCGAATAAATCAAGATAGTTCCATTTGTTTTTAAATTAGGCCATATAGCTCTAAATAATACGAGTCAAAGAAAAATTTGTGATGAAAAGTAGAATATATTTGAACAGAGCATTAATGAAAGCACTTCATATCAAAATTTGTGAGTAGTAACTACAGCAATTTTTAGTCTTAAATGATCATTTTATAAAAGGAGAAAGTCTAAAAATTGAAACAAGCATTCAATTTCAAAACTGAAGGCTAAGCATAAAATATTCAAAATAAAGAGGAAGAAAGAAATAATATGAACAGTATCAGAAGTTAATAATATAGAAAACAAATAGACACTAGCAGGGCTCAACAAGGTCCAACAAATGGTTATTTTAGAAAAGCAGAACATTGAGAAATTTTAGATAAAATTAACCATAAATAAAAAGAAGTACATCACACGCAATGCCAGGATTTAAAAAAGGGTAGTAAGCTACAGATGCTATATATATTAAGATGGTAATCAAATGATATTGTAAGTAACTTTCTATCAGTAAATTTGAAAGCTTAAGTAAATTGAATTCTTAAATAACTAACTTACCAGAGTACACCCCCCAAAAAATATAAAGCCTTAATAATTCTATAACCAGTAAAGAAGTTAGTTTAGAAGTTCAAAACTTCACACAAATAAATTCTACGTTAAGGTGGTTTTTACACTGTGATTCAATAAACACTGAAAATACAGATTATTCTAATCTTATAAAACTTACAAGTATACAGGGGATAAAAGAGGAGTTCTCTTCAAGTCATTCCATGAGACTATTATTAACTTGATTTCAAAGCTTGACAGGGTTGTATGAAAAAGGAAAACTACAAGGCAATCTTTGTCCTGAAGAGCAATGCAAAATGTCAAAATGATAGCAAATCAACTGAGCAAAGTGTAGAGACAGTACAACATGACTGTTGGACTTTTCCTAGCAATGCCAGTTGGTTTGACATGAGGAAATTAAAAATGTAATTTGCCACATTAAAAGATCCAAAGACAGCAGTCTTATGATGTATCCCAATAATAGCAAACTTATAATAAAATTGAATATTCATTCATAATAAACAAGTAATTTTTAGAACATTTGGAATTAAAATAAATTTCATTAAACTGTTTATATTAAAAATTAACTGTAAGCATCATGTAAAAACAATGAAAGCATTCTTGTTAAGACAAGAAACAGGATGAGATGCCTGCATCCCAACTTCTAGAAACATTGTACTGAAAGTTAGTAATGCAAGAAAAATCAATATTGAATATAAAGACAAAAGAAGTCAGAAAAAAAAAAGAAAAAAACTATTATTGTGTCCTGACAACACACACACACACATTTATAGATAAGTATGGGAGTCAGAGCATTTAGAAAGTTTCATACATACAAAAATAACTATGAAATATGAATTGCATTTCTATATATCAACAGCAAACATAGAAACTTAATTTTTTATTTTCTGTATTTCTATTTTCTAATTTTATTGAGTTTATTGGGGTGACATTGGTTAATAAAATCAAATAGGTTTCAAGTGTACAATTCTATAATACATTATCTGTATATTGTATTGTATGTTTACCAGCCACAGTCAGTTCAAGTCTCCTTTGATCACCATTTATCCTCACTTCACCCTCTTCTACCTCGTCCCTTTTTCTCTGGTAATCACCATACTGTTGTCTGTGTCTATAAGTTGTTGTTGTTGTTTTGCTTAATGCCTTATCCTTTTCACCCAGGTCCCCAATCCCCCTCCACTCTGACAGCTGTCAGTCTTTTCTCTGTATCTGTGTTTCTTTGTCACCGTGTTTTTTTCTTTGTTTGTTTCTTGTGGTCAGAATTTGTTTTCATATATCTCTATAGGTAAAAGTATAACAGATGTTTCTCCCCTTTTTCCCCCTACTGACACCCTTCTCTCTGCTTCCACCCCTGCCGCCTTCACAACAGTGTTGTCTGTGCTTACTGGTTATGCATATATGCATAGAAGTTCTTTGGTTTTTCTCTTCCCACTCCCCCAAAACTCTTCCCTCTGAAGTTAGTCAGTCTGTTCCCTACTTCCATGTCTATGGATTTATTTTGTTTGACAGCTTATTGTGCTCACTATATTCCAAAAATAAGTGAGATTATGTGATACTTGTCTTTCTCTGACTGGCTTATTTCACTTAACACAATATTCTCCAGGTCTCTCCATGCTGTCTCAAAGGGTAAGAGATCTTTCTTTCTTACTGCTGCATAGTACTCCATTGTGTCTATGTGTCACAGCTTTTATATCCACTCATCTACTGATGAACACTTGAGCTGTTTCCAGATTTTAACTATTATAAATAGTGCTGTTATGAACATGGGGGTGAATATATTCTTTCTGATTGGTGTTTCAGGCTTTTTAGGATATATTTCTAGAAGTGGGATCACTGGGTCAAATGACAGCTCCATTTTTAATTTTTTTGAGGAAACGCCATTTTGTTTTACATAGTGGCTGCACCAGTCTGCCTCTGCCTGCAGGTTGACTGTTAGTCTCAGTCACTTAATGAGCCTCAGGTTGTAGTCCTCAGCTACACCCTGAGGTAAACTCCACCTGGTGGGCAGGGTGAGAGAATTTCCAGAGTGTGGGGTGATTGACCCCAACCCCCCACCCCACTCCAGGCTAAAGCCTCCAGGCTAAAGCTGCTTTGTTGGGGAAACTTTGCCTGAGAAAAATGATTTCTGCAGCATGGGTTAATGAAAGCACAGGGACCCAGGCAGCAGCCTTCACAACTTTGTCCCCAGACCCACAAATCCCAATGACTGCCAGCCAGACAAAAGACTCAAAGCAGCCAGAGATTCATCTCTGCCTGCAGGCTGGCTGGTAGAGTCTGACTCTTAACGAACCTCAGGTTGTAGCTCTGTACTAGACATACTCTCCTCCTGGCAGGTGGGGTGAGAGGAATTCCAGCAGGTGGGGCGGTTGTTTATCCCCTGGGCTAAAGTTGCTCTGAAGGGAAAACTGTCTGAGAAGCTCTTTGATTCTCCTTCAATTTTATTTCATTTTAATTTTTTAATATTTGTATTTATTTTTAGAGAGAGAGTAATGGAGAGGGAGAGAGAGAGAAACACTAATGCAAGAGTGAAACATCAATCAGCTGCCTACTGCACACCCCCTACCAGGGAATTAAGCCTGCAACCCAGGCATGTGCTCACACCAGTAATCAAACTGGCAACCTTTTATTGCCTGGGACAATGCCCAACTAACT